GTTACTTTTACTGATTAAATCATCAGTGCTAGAAAAATTTTTACTTTTAACATTCATTGGCATTAATGTTAGTTGAATTTGATGGATTAGCGTGCTGTTATGAATATGGTTATTATATTAACTTCTTAGCTGATTTATAGTAATTTTATATTTAGATCTATAAAAATATATAATTATATTATCTATCTTCAAAAGCACATTCTCTCTGAGGAGAAATAAATATGTATTTTCAAGCTAGTTGTGCTTAAATACAGTTGTAGCCTCCAAATAACCATATGTAGGCCTAGCTGTATTTTAATCGTATATTTAACTAAACATGAAAACTGACTTGTCAAGTTTTTAGCATTATTATGTGACTCTGCTTTTTACTTACATATTTATTAGAGGCCTGTTGCATGAAGATTCGTGCAATAGGCCTTCCTTTCCCTGGCTGTGGGCACTGGTTTTCCTTTCCTCTGGCACCTGGGACCCAGGCCTTTGCTCTGGCCACTGCCTTCCATCTTTGCTTTGGCCGGAGTCTTTGCTCTGGTTGGAGCCTTCAGTCTTCACTCCAGCAGGAGTGCTGCTCCTGTAGTTCCCTCTGCCGCCTGCCCTCCCCCTCATTGCCTGGCCACTCAGCGACTGCATGCATGCTGCCCAAAGGACCAGAGTAGCTGGGGGGCGGGGCTGCTGCCATCTTTGCTGGGTTAATTTGCATACTCGACTGGCTGGTGTGTGTCATGAAGTGATGGACAATTTGCATATTTCTCTTTTATTAATGTACATTTTAAGCTCATCCTATATAATAAAAACCTAGGTGGTGCCGAAACCAATTTGGCTCAGTGGATGGAGCATCAGTCTATGGACTGACGGTTCCCAGGTTTGATTCCCGTCAGGAACATGTACCTTGGTTGCGGGCATATCCCCAGTGGGGCGGGTTCAGGAGGCAGCTGGTTGATGTTTCTCTTTCATCGATGTTTCTAACTATCTATCCCTCTTCCTTCCTCTCTGTAAAAAATCAATAAAATATATATTTTTTAAAAGCCTAGGTGGCAGTGGATGATGTCATCACAATATAGCTGCCACAAGATGGCCAACACAAGATGGTTGACAGGGGAGGGCAGTTGGGGGCGAGATCAGGCTGGCAGGGGAGGGCAGTTGGGTGTAACCAGGCCTGCAGGGAAGGACAGTTGGGGGCCATCGGACTGGCAGAGGAAGGCAGTTGGGGCGAGATCAGGTCTGCAGGGGAGAGCAGTTGGGAGCAAGATCAGGCCAGTAGGGGAGCAGTTAGGGGGTGATCAGGCTGGCAGGCAGGAGTGGTTAGTGGCAATCAGGCAGGCAGGCAGGTGAGCGGTCAGGAGCCAGCAGTCCCAGATTGAGAGACAGATGTATGACTGTTCGTTTAGGCTGACAGGGATTGGGCCTAAATGGGCAGTCAAACATTCCTCAAGGGGTCCCAGGTTGAAGAGGGTGCAGGCCGGGCTGAGGGACACCACCCCCATGCATGAATTTCATGCACTGGGCCTCTAGTATTACCTAAAAGATGAAAATTGATTGCCCAACACAAGACCAAAAGATTTACATCTGTTTCCTTCTGTTTTATAATTTTTATAAAAACTTATATTTAAATCCTTTATCTATTTTAATTTTTGTATACAAGTATGACATATGGGTCCAATTTGAATTATTTTTTGAAATGTAATTCTACGGATTTCAGAGAGGAAGAGAAAGGCAGAGAGAGAAAGATCAAAGATGAGAGAATACTATTGATCGGCTGCCTCCTGCATGCCCCCCACTGAGGATCGAACCCAAAACCCAGGCATGTGCCTTGACAGAAATTGAAGAGTGGCCTTCTGGTTAATAATAGGTCAATGCTCAATCACTGAGCCATGCTGGTCAGGTGGCAACTTGAATCTTTTGCTTGTGAATTTCCAGTTGTTTTAGTGCCATTTGCTAAAATGACTATTTCTCCCCCAACCCCCATTAATGGTCTTGACAGCCTTGTGAAAAATCAATTGACAATAGCTATGTGGGCTTATTAACAAAACAATTCCATTTACAGTAGCACCACAAACAACAAAATAGTTAGGAATAGATTTAAGCAAGGAAGTGGAATACTTATCCACTGAAACACTGTTGAAAGAAATTAGAGGTGAATAAATAAATGGAAAGACATTACATTGTTGATTGAAAGACTTAATATTAGAAGATTTGATAAGGATTAATATTATGAATTCTTTAATCATTTTGCAGAATTCACCAGTGGAGCCATCTGATCCTGAGCTACTTGTTGTTCAAAGTGTATAGATTATTAATTGAATCTCTTTGCTATAATTTAGAGTCTCTATTTCTTCTTGAATCAGTCTAGTTTGTGTTTTTATAGGTATGTGTTCATTTCATCTGAATCATCTAATTGTTGACATTATTATGTATAATTCTGTTATCCTATGTGTTTTCAGAGTAATCTCTTCTCTTTCACACCAGATTTTAATAATTTGAGTCTTCTATGATTTTCTTGGTTAGTCTAGCAAAAGGATAGTCAATTTTTTAAATCTTTTAAAAAATACTTTCCTATTCTATATTTTTACATATATATTTAAACAACTTTCTACATGTAATGCTTAAAGGTCAGAACACCCAATAACTGAAATAACATTATTCTCAAAATGACCGAGAAGGAATCACTCCTAGAAACATCGTCTTACATGTGTCTTTAGACACCTGTCTGAATGCATGACATAATGGACTGTCCAGGCTACACAATCTCAGAAATAGCCCTTCTCAATAGGCTATGTTAAGAAAAAATTTTAAACATCTTTTTTACATAGATGTGTTCAAACATCTGTATTCAAGCACATCTTCACATGTGTTGCACAACGGTTAGCACATCCACTTGATAAAATATTTTTCCACTCTATATTTTCTCTATGTCTGTTATAATTTTATTATTCCTTTTTTCTTTCTGCTTCTTTTGCTCTTCTCTAGTTTTTTAGGGTGTAAGATTATGTTAACTTATTTTTCTTTAATGCAGGCTACACATTTCCTTCTGAGTGCTGTGTTTTGCTGCATCCTACAAGAACTGGTATGCTGTTTCACACCAAGCTTTCATTCTTCTCAAAGTATTCTCTAATTCCTTTGTGATTTCCTCTTTGACCCACTGGCTATTTAAGTGTCTTAATTTCCATACATTTATGCATTCTCAAATTTTCTCTTTGCTATTGATCTCTCATTTCATGACATCCTAGTAGAAGATACGTGATATAATTTTAATCTTTTAAATTTTATTGAGAATTAGATTGTGGCCTAATATGATCTATCTTGGAGAATGTAGCATGTGTACATGAGAAGAATGCGTACTCGGCTATTGTTGGGTAGAGTGTTCTACAGACATCTATTACTAGTAGTTCTGGATATTTTACAGTGTCACTGAAGTCTTCTGTTCCCTTACTATTCTTTGTTTTGTTTATTCTAGTTATTGTCTAATAGCCATTCATTTCAGCCTCAAGGATTCCCTTCAACATTCATATAGAGAAGGTATGATAGTTTTTATCTGGGAATGTCTTGATTTCACCTATAATTTCATAGGCAGTTTTACTAGATTTAGAATTCAAAGTTAACAGTTTTGTTTTTCAAACATTTTGAATGTATCATCCAATGCCTTCTGGGCTCCCTTATTTTTTATGGTAAATCAGGTGTTAATCTTATTGAGAATCATACATGATGGTTAACTCTCTCGTTTTCAAGATTCCCTCTTATTCTTCAGCTTTTGATAGCTTATGATATGTATCTGTGTATCTCTTTGAGTTACTCTACTTAGAGTAAGGTGAACTTTTTGAATATATATATTAATTTTTTAAAATATAATTTGGAAAGTTTTCTGCCAATATTTCTGCAAATATTCTTTTGGCCCCTTTCTTCCTCTTCCTTCTATTATGTACTTTTTTCCATTACTTTTTCATTCTGTTCCTCAGACTAGACAGTCTCAGTGATCCACCATCAAGTTTACTGATTCTTTTTCCTGTCTTCACAAATCTGCTGTTGAGGTCCTATAGTGAATTTTAAAAATTTCAGTTATAATTTTCAACTTGAACCTTCAGTTGTTCCAGTAAAGGCCCAGAGAAAAAAATAGCAAAGTTCAAACACATTTTACCAGGTAAATATCGTTTCTCTCTGAAGGAAAGGCTGGCATGAATTATCTAAGGTTATACTTATGCCACATCAGAACAGTTCAAAATCCAAATTATGAAGTATATGGAAAATAAAAGTCACACTAATGGATTAACACTTTTAATCTCTTATTTTTACTTAGCTCTTAAAATCATATTGATACCACATTCACATCAGCGTCCCATTGGTTATCTCAACTTGACCCTATACTGTACTTAACTTTTTATTAATATACTTTCTAAAAATACTTTATTATAATTTTTAATATATTTTATTGATTTTTTACAAAGAGGAAGAAAGAGGGATAGATAGTTAGAAACATCGATGAGAGAGAAACATCAATCAGCTGCCTCTGGCACACCCCCCACTGGGGATGTGCCCACAACCGAGGTACATGTCCTTGACCGGAATCGAACCGGAATCTTTCGGTTCACAGACTGACACTCTATCCACTGAGCCAAACCTGTTTTGGCTAAAAATACTTTAATAAAATGTATAAAAATATTGAAAAGAGCCAATCTAGAAATAGTTTAGTATTTTATTTCAGAAAACTAGGCAAAAGGTCAAAATATGCTCTTTTTTATTTTTTAGAAAACAAAAGAATTCACTAATGATAAGGTAGCAATCTTTTTTCTCAGTAAAAATAAATTACATAAAATTAAAGTTCTTGATTTACATCATAATTTATTTTTTATCTCTTATATATCACACAGTTATTAAAAGAAAAAGTCTGAAAATATATAAAAGAGATGATATATAATCTTCTTGCTCCCAGAGAATCACTTAATATAAATAATTATAAATTTCAGAGAGGTGAATAGGCTATGTACTGCAAATACTAATTTGTTATATACATTTTAATATAAGTGTTAATTTTATCTTACTACTTTTCGAAATATCTTAACTTAGTCAACTTTTCCTTATGCTTTGGTTTTCTAATTTATAATTCAAGATTTCTTTTGGTTGATTTACCAGAAATTAAGACATTTTGCTCAAAATCTTACAAAGCAAGGTCACATGAAACACTGAAATTTATTATTATTTTTTTTAAATACACAGTGATTTTGAGTATTACTCATAGATAAAGCTCTAAAATGAGAACCCAAATCATCTTGGTTAAGGGGCCACCATGGAGATAGATATCAATTAATGTCAATTAGCAATTGCTACTCTGGCATTTTTCTTCCACTGTTAGAATAGATCATTATTTCTTTGGTTTGAACATCCGACAAAATTTGTACCTGGTTGAATTTAGAGCTCACATTGTATAACAAATATCTATCTTTAAAGACTAGAGTTTTATGCAGTACAGAATGTCTACACACCTAAACCCCATTCTAAGTGCTAAACTTCACACTGAATTAAGCTCAAGGCATACACAGAGTGGAATCCACACAGTTTAAATTATTTCTTTCCCTGCCTGCTTTTGCTGAGTGTACATTCCTGCTCCTCAATGTAAGTGCACCTACTCACATAACTAATGAGAAAGCAAACAAATCTTTAGGTAAAGTGACATTTCTTAGGTCATATCCTCATACTAATTCTTAAATCTATTTTTTTAGATATAGTTAATTTAAAACTGATCTTGTAAAAAAAATCCCTCCAACTTCATCTACTCCTTTTTCCCCGTACAATCATATTCCAAAATAGAGGGGAAACGGCAGAGCTGGAGAGGTGCAGATAACAGAGCTTCTCTACATGGAGAGTAGAAATAGAGCAACACTACTTCAGGTCAACATAAGTTCCTTACTTCCACAATACTGTGACCAAAAAAAAGTAATTATTGGGACTTACAATCTTTTGACACAAAGAAAACTGTATCTATCAAATTTCAAAGTAAAGATTGACCAACTAAATACCAAGAAAACCTTCAGTGTTCTTGGAATGCAATATTTTGCTAACATTCAAATAATATAATCAGGAGAGAAGTGTCTGCACTTGCTGTGGCGATCGGTGTAGAATGGTCTCTGGATCTTTGTATTCATTGACTGGATTCATCACAGCAGTATACACCACACCATAGGCTCTACAGACTAATTCAGTAGACTGTTTGATGATCTGCTCTCTATTGGTAAACAAACAAAATATGAAAACATAATTTAAAAATACTAAGAATTGTAAGAAAGTTTCACATTTAAATCAATGCATTTCATCTTCATAATTATCATACCGATAAAAAATCATTGTACTGCTACAAGTCACCTATCTTGGTTTTGAAATAAAAAACTGTTTTATATTTATTATTTCTTTGTTAAATTTTCCTGATTAGTATGTAGGTTTCAGGAAGGCAGGGACTGTATTTTGTTCTCTGCTTTATATCTTTTGGCTGGAACAGTGGCTGATATAAACAAAAAACAGAAACTGTGACCCACCATCAATGTATTGATTTTGCAAACACAACTGATAACACATTAAAGAAAGAGGCTTATAATTACTCAAACTGATTAATACTACAAATCTCAGAATAACATTAAAATAAACTGCTTTTTCACTTATACTAACAGACTTTGTTTTATTGTGTTTTACTTCACTGTGCTTCATAGATATTGCTTTTTTTTTTTATAAATGAAGGCAAAATCAACTCTCTTTATTGTGATATTCTTTTCATTGCAGTTGTCTGGAACTGAACTAACAATATCTCTGAGGTTTGCCTGTAGCTCCTTCACCATCAACTACATCTAGATTTCTCATCTATCTGTTTATATTACCAGGCCAAAATAACCTGACGCTTGCCTATAACAAATCATAGCATTGTCACAAATATGTGTTTGTACATAAGCACATAAAAATAATAGAAATAGTTTTAAATAAACTAAAGCAAATATTTTGAAAAATATTATCTGGCCAGGAAAAAATACTATTGGGCTCATTAAATATGCATGAACTCTCCCCAGGTTTTCATGGCATTTATTTCTTATCATCCCCAGCTACTTTTATTTATGTAACATTTTATGAAAACTACTGACACTTTTCCCCCCTGATTTTTATATCTAAATTTCAAGCTTTACTCCAAAACCTACTTTTTTTTTTTTTTTTTTTTTCCTATTTTTTATTTCTGTCAATCCATCACCTCAGTTTAGACTTTAATGAACTCTCACCTGGAGTACACAGAAAACTCCTATCTGGTCTTTCCTCTTCTAATATTTTCCACATTAAATTTATCACAAGCACTTCTGTCAATCTTTCTAAAGTGTATCTTTTATCATGGCTCTCCTTTCCCAGGGCCTTCCTTCAGAGAGCTTTAATAGCTTCTTCGGGTTTCAGAGAAGTCACAATTTCTTACCCTGTCATTCAAAAATTCTTAAAATACTTTCTATATTACTATTGTAATTCTGCAGTTCAAAGAAATTCCTGAATGTCTTCTCTGCCCTGTTCTTGCTGACTTCAATTCTTTTGCTCACATTCCTTCATTTGCCTGAAATGCCTACCTCTCAAGCACCTTTAAAAATGCCCTTAATTCTCAGTAATAATAAATTATCTACAAAGTCTTATCTGATCCCCAGAGCTAGAAATAATTACTCAGTTTTTGGAATGTCCACAACCAAAACAATACATTTGTAAGACGTCTGGTGCATTGAAGCAAATTGATTATTTCCTGCAAATTGGTAAAGCTTCCAAAAGGAGAGTAGGAAAAAATGAAAATATGCTGAGTAAATTCTCTGAGCAGAGTGGGTAATGCCACTAGTTATACTAACCTTTGTTGGAAGAAATAATGGTGAAAACTGGTTTGGAAATTTGTTTAACTGGATGAGGCTTTACAATATTTTTTGATCTATTAATTGATGATCATTCCTAATTCATAATTGATTGAGCTTAACATTGAGTGCATCAAGAAGATGCAAAGAGCTGAGAAACACTATAAACTGGTATTTTTTAAATGTGTGAAATATAAGATATATTTGATACCCATTTTGCATCAAGTCAAAGAAGATATTTTAGATACAGCACTTAATATCATTTAATATCATTTAATATCATTTACTTATAACAATTAGGACAAACTTCAGCAGATATATACTGATAAAGCATTTATTACTTTCACTTCATACTCTAAAATCTACACTCAATCTAAATATAGTGTATATTTAAACATATTCATAAAAACACAGAGTAACAAGGCTATTCCTTCTCACCAGTTTATAATCAGAATATGGTACAATAATGAATAAAAATACTATTATAAAAAATCTAGGTAACTGGTAAATGTAGAATGAATTACTGAATATTTTGAAGTAATACATTTTAAATTTTACCTTCAAGTACAAATGATGACAAATTTTAAGTTTACTTATAACTCAGGGCACATATCTACTTATAAATTAAACTGGATCATATAGAGCTTAAGAATGGTGGCAAAGTAAGTGGAAGCTACATTGACAATCTCCCAGGACCAAACTGGAAATACAATTAAAATACAGAAAAGCCATCCTGAAAAATCAACTGAAGACTAGCTGGAGAGAACCCTGATAATCAAGGACAGAAAGTAAAGATCCCAGAGACTGGTAGGAAATGTGGAGATGCTAAAGGGGTGGCTGGGCTAGATAGCAGCTGAGGTTCCTGAGGGATATATGTGTGGGGGGCCCTATCTTTATAGAGCTGTGGGGCTTCCCAATGAGAATCCCAGCTTGGCTCCCCAGCCCAAAGCACATTAATACCTGGCTATGAAAAGCAGCAGGGTTGTTGTCTGCCAGGGAGAGATGGCTGGAAATGCAGGCATTCTCTTAAAGGGCCAACACACAAAATTTCATGTGCAACCATTTAGCTTGGGCTCTGGCAGGGGGAAGGCAGAGTGGACTGAAGCTGTGTGAAGAGAGTACAGGGTTTGGGGCTCTATGGTTGGAGCTTGGAGGGTAGCCACCCTGGTTTCCTGTATTGATTCATTCTTTCACTACTCAGCAGCAGCAGACAAGTTTCTCCAAAGGACCTTTGCTATGCAGATGGTTTTGCCCTGGGGGAAAGGCAATTGCCACACCCTGTTGGAAAACCTCTAACTCCACCCTGTGGTTTGATAGTCTAAGGCGAATCTATGCTGATAACAATCAGACTGTAGGCAGCAGACAAGCTCTGGAGGCTTTGAGTCTTTGCCTGATCTCCATGCTAAGCCCCATGCTAAAAAAGCAGTCCATGGTGCACATCTTGGTCCTTTCCAGGAGGCACCCAGCCTCAGCACAGGGAGGCATAAGCTGTGGATTGCTGAAAACAGGGTACTCAGGGCCAGTAAAAATAGTACCTGACACTGTCCTACAGTAGAGATTGGAATCGTAGCAGATCTACTTTAATACATAGATACAAACCCAAACAGGCAGCCAAAATGGGAAGACAAAAAAAAACAAGCCCCAAATGAAAGTACAAGAAAATTCTCTAAAAGAAGAGCTAAACAAAATGAAGGTAAGAAATTTACCAATATAGAGTGAAGATTCATGATAGTAAATAAGTTCAACATCATGAGAAAAGATATAGCAACTATTAAAAAAGAACAGTTGCCAAAACTGGTTTAGCTCAGTGGATAGAGCACTGGCCTGCGGACTGAAATGTCTCAGGTTCGATTCCGATCAAGGGCATGCGATACCTTAGTTGCGGGCACATCCCAGGTAGGGGGTGTGCAAGAGGCAACTGATCGATGATTCTCTCATCAATGTTTCTAATTTTCTATCCCCCTCTCTTCCTCTCTGTAAAAAATCAATAAAATATATTTTTAAAAAATAATAAAATAAATAAAAAAGAACAGTTGGAAATAAAGAATGAAAAGCATAATAAAGACTAAATTGGAAGAAATACACAGCAGATTAAGGGAAGTCAAGGATGGGATCAGTGAATTAGAAGATGGTGTAAAAAAAAAAAAATCACTCAATCAGAGAACTGAAAGGAAAAACAATTAAAACACAGGAGGACAGCTTAAGGGAGCTGTGGACCAATGTGAAATGCAACAATATTCACATAATTGAATAGCCAGAAGGAGAAAAGAAAGAGTAAGAGGTAGAAAATAATTTTGAAGAAATAATGGCAGAAAAACTTCTCTAACCTAGTGAAGGGAAAAATCAAACAAGTCCAGGAGGCACGAAATTCCAAGAACCCAACTAGGCCCATGCCCAGACACATTATAATTAAAATGCCAAAAATTAAAGACAAAGAGAAAATCTTAAAGGCAGCAAAATAAAAGCAACTTGTTACCTACTAAGGAGCTCCCATGAGTCTGTCAGCTGATTTCTCATCAGAAACTCTATAGGCCAGAAGGGAATGGCATGAAATTCTCAAGGTAATGAATAACAATGATCTGAAACCAAGATGACTATATCCAGGAAGGCTATCATTCAAAATAGATGGTTAAATAAAGAGTTTCCCAGACCAAAAAAAAAAAAAAGAGTAAAGGAGTTTAACACCACCAAACTAATACTGCCAGAAATGCTAAAGGAACTGCTGTAATGAGAATAGAGAGAGAAACACAGCATAAGGAATTAGAATGGCAATAAGAAAGTACCTATCCTACCCAATAAAAAAGTAATATGCAAATTAACCATCACTCCGCTCAACAAGCAACACCACCAGCCGGGCCCACCAACCAATCAGAGCATGTATGCAAATTAACCCCAACCAAGATGGCTCTGGCCACAGAGGCTTGGGTTTCTCTGGCAACAGAAGAAGCCAAGCTTTCCGCCTGCCCTAACAGGCCTAAGCCTCCACTACAGACTACAAAGCTTCAGTTAAGAAGGTAAACAAATCCAAACAGAAATGGCTGCCACCATGGAGCAAGCAGGAGGCTTGACTCCAGGCTACAAAGTTTCAACTGTAGAAAAGTAAATATATCCCAGATACTAGGGCCTCCACTTGGGTCACTGGGGGGCATGGCCAGCCTAAAAACCACCACAGGCCCCTCACTCAGGCCACCCCACACCCCAAAGGAACCCCCACCCTGATCTGGGACACCCTTCAGGGAAAACCAGCTGGCCCCCACCATGCACCAGGCCTCTATCCTATCTATAATAATAAAAGAGTAATATGCAGATTGACCATCACTCCAGCACAATATGGCTGCCCTCATGTGATCAAAGATCCTGCCCATATGTGGATACAAGGTGGCTACCATAAGATGGCCAGCAGGGGAGGGCAGTTGGGAGGGACCAGGCCTACAAGGGAGGGCAGTTGTGGGTGATCAGGCCAGCAGGGAAGGGCAGTTGGAAGGAACCAGGCCTGCAAGTGAGGGCAGTTGAGAGGGACCAGGCCTACCTAGGGAGGGCAGTTGAGGTGATCAACCCTGAAGGGAAGGACAGTTAGGGGTAAACAAAGCCGGCAGAGGAGGGAAGTTGAGGACAAACGGGCTGGCAGGGGAGCAGTTAGACATCAATCAGCTGGCATGGGAGTGGTTAGGGGGTGATCAGGCTAGCAGGCAGAAGCAGTTAGGGGCAATCAGGCAGGCAAACAGTTGGGAGCCAGCAGTCCTGGATTGTGAGAGGGATGTCCAACTGCCCAACAGGATTGGGCCTAACCAGGAAGTCAGATATCCCTCAAGGAGTCCCAGATTGGAGAGGGTGCAGGCTGGGCTGAGAAACAACCCTCTCCCCCCTCCCCCTGTCCCTGTGCACAAATTTTCAATAATAACCTTAAATGTAAATGTGTTAAATGCTCCAATCAAAAGACAAAGGGTGACTGAATGTATACAAAAACATGACCCAAAAATGCTGTCTACAAGAATCCCATTTCAGAAAAAAAGACTCACACAGCATGAGAATGAAGTGGTGGAAAAAATTTTCCTTGCAAATGTATACCAAAAAAAGCTAGGATAGCAATACTTGTATCTGACAAAACAGACTTCAAAATGAAGGCCATTACACAAAACAATAAAGGTCACTGCATATTTCTAAAGGGATTGATCTAACAAGAGGATATAACCCTGGTAAACATATTAGTATATACACACCTCATATAGGAGCACCTAAATATATTTAAAAACTTTATGGAGGACCTTCTGGTAGAGATTGACAGCAACACAATCATAATAGGGGATGGTAGCACTACACTGACTTCACCGACTGAAGGCTCGCCAGAACAATGGAAGTCAGTCTTGCAGTCAGTGGGGGCGCAGCAACCCAGCATTGACTGCCGAGGAGGCTGGAGATCAGACCCAGAGAGAGGCCCAGAGAGAGAGCCAGGGTCTAATCTGCAGCTTCTGTGGCAGATGTTGATTAGCCATTGCCTTTCTCTTTCTCTCTAGACTAGGGGTGTCGAACTCAATCAGAGAAGGGGCCAAAATCTAAAATCCAGCCTAAATCGCGGGCCGAATGGCTTACTGAACAGTCATAAACTGTCATTGTGATGGAAACGCAGCGGAGTGCAGTGATGACAGCACGGTGCGGGCCACATTGCAAGGCCTGGCGGGACGGATTTGGCCCGCGGGCCTTGTGTTTGACACATGTGCTCTAGACTTTGCCAGCAGCCACGCCTCTGTTTCTCTCCAGGCCTCTGTGGGGGGGCTGCTGATCAGCCCTGCCTCTCTAATCAGGCCCAGAGATAGGCCCAGAGACACTGGCTGGCATAGAAATTGACCAATCAGAACCAAATCTGAGAGAATTGTGAGGAGCCAATGGCAGCCTAGGAGGCAGAGCTTTTGATGCTAACTGGCACAGAAATTGGCTAGTCAGAACTAAATCTGGATCAACTGTGAGGAGCAAATGTCTGCTTAGGAGGCGGAGCTTTTGATACTGAATGGCATAGAAAATGAAGAATCAGAACCAAATTGGCCAGCAGGGGAAGGCAGTCGGGGGTGAGATCAGGCTGAAAGGGGAGGGCAGTTGGGGGCGAGATTAGGGCAGTTATGGGTGATTAGGCAGGCAGAGGCAGTTGGGGGTGAGATCAGGCCAGCAGGCAGTTAGCAACAGTTAGGGGCGATCAGGCAGGCAGGCAGAGAGGTTAGGGGTGATAAGTCAGGTAGGCAGAGGGGTTAGGGGCAATCAGGCAGGCAGGTGAGTGGTTAGGAGCCAGGAGTCCCATATTGCGAGAGGGATGTCCCACTTGGCTGAGGGAACACCCTCTCTGTGCACAAATTTTTTTTTTTTCTTCTCATTAAACTGTTATTTTAATGGGTCTCAAAATTCTGTGACAGATTTTTGGTCATGTTGTTTCCATTAAAAAGTACTGATTTTAAAAACTAATAACTTAAAAACTGTCACACACACAAAAGAAACAAATGGCCCACAAAACATTCTTCTTTCCTTCTGAAGGTTTAAGGTATATTGTAACCATTAACCAGTCTTTTACTATTAAACTTAAATGGCCAATTGAGACAAACAGTTCTGAGACCTTCTTCCACCACTGATTAAGACTGGGATGGCAGGTGTTGGAAATAATATTCATTTAGCCTTCTGAGCTTTCTGGGCAGACTTGGTGACTTTGCCAGCTCCAGCTGCCTTCTTGTCCACTGCTTTGATGACACCCATAGCAACTGTCTGTCTCATGTCACGAACAGCAAAACAGCCTAGAGGAGGGTAGTCAGAGAAGCTCTCAACACACATGGGCTTGCCAGGAATCATATCAACGATGGCAGCATCACCAGATTTCAAAAACTTGGGGCCCTCTTCCAGCTTTTTCCCAGAACGACGATCAATCTTCTCCTTCAGCTCAGCAAATTTGCAAGCAATGTGAGCTGAGTGACAATCTAGCACAAGTGCATATCCAGCACTGATCTGGCCTCAGTATAATCACCTGAGCTGTGAAGCCAGCTGCTTCCATTGGTGGATCATTTTTGCTGTCACCAGCCACATTGCCACCGCGAACATCTTTGACAGACATGTTCTTAACGTTGAAGGCCACATTGTCCCCAGGAAGAGCTTCACTCAAAGCTTCATGGTGCATTTCAACAGACTTTACTTCAGTTGTAACATTGACTGGAGCAAAGGTGACCACCATGCTGGGCTTGAGAACACAAGTCTCCACTCTGCCCACAGGAACAGTACCAATACCACCAATTTTGTAGACATCCTGAAGGGGCAGACATGGGCTTGTCAGTTGGGCGAGTTGGTGGCAGGATGCAATCCAGAGCTTCAAGCAATGTGGTTCCACTGGCATTGCCATATCTATGGGTGACCTTCCATTCCTCAAACCAAGGCATATTAGCACTTGGCTCCAGCATGTTGTTACCATTCCAACCAGAAACTGGCACAAATGTTACTGTGTCAAGGTTGTAGCCAATTTTCTTAATGTAGGTGCTGACTTCTTTAACAATTTCCTCGTATCTTTTTCTGGCTGTAGGGTGGCTCAGTGGGATCCATTTTGTTAACACCAACAATCAACTATTTCCACCCAATGTGTAGAAAGGAGGGCATGCTCACAGGTCTGTCCATTCTTGGAGATGCCTGCTTCAAATTCACCAACACCAGCAGCAACAATCAGGACAGCACAGTCGGCCTGAGATGTGCCTGTCATCATGTTTTTGATGAAGTCTCCATGCCCTGGGGCATCAGTGATGGTCACATAATACTTGCTGGTCTCGAATTTCCACAGGGAGATATCAGTGGTGATACCTTGCTCCCATTTGGCTTTCAGTTTATCCAAGACCCAGGCATACTTGAAGGAGCCCTTCCCCATCTCAGCAGCCTCCTTCTCAAATTTCTCAATGGTTCTTTTGTCAATCCCACTACATTTGTAGATGAGATGGCTGGTAGTGGTAGACTTGCCAGAATCTATGTGTCCAATGACGACGATGTTGATGTGAGTCTTTTCCTTTCCCATCTTGGGTTTGAGTTAATGGTGGTTTTCACGACACCTGTGTTCTGGCAGCAAACCCGTTGCAAAAAGCTGTGCACAAATTTAATGCACCAGGCCAATAGTCTATATACATAAAAAGCCAGCAACTGGAATGCTGAAAGGACGGACTAGAACAACGAGTCTCTATGATGCCCACTGTGGCCAGGGAACTGGCCCGATCGGGGTATGGGGCTTGCTGGGGGGAGGGCTCTGGGAGGTTGGCCAGCTGGCCCCACCCTTGATTGGACTCTTCCACCCTATCGAGGGCATGGTGGCTGGCCAACCTTTCCCTGCAGCCCTTCCCCCTGACTGGCCTGCCCCACCCCAACTGGCCCACAGCCCAAATCCCTGGTCAGCCCTGCCCCCAAAGGGCCCCCACAACCCCAATTGGCCTGCAGCCCCTCCTCCCCAGCTGGCCTCACCCCTGATCTGCCCCTCTACACTAATAATAGGTGGGGCCAGTTGGCCAACCTCTTGCAGCCCTCCCCTAGGCACCCCTATCCCTATCCCCATGGCCCCTACCACCCTGATTGGCCTATAGCCCCTCTCCCAGCCAGCTCCACCACTGATCGACCCCCCAACACTAATCGAGGATATGGCTAACAGGCCAATCTCCAGCCTTCTTCTCCTTATGACAGGCCCAGCCCCAATCCACCGACTGGGGCCAGGCTGGCCAGACCCCACCCATGCACAAATTCATGCACCGGGCCTCTAGTAATAGCATAACATTTTAATGTTTACAATTCTTTATCTTTAATGTTTACACATTCCTGATAAATATATAATACTGAACAATTTTATAATATATCTATGGAAATTGTGTAGGTCCAAAACAGTCTATAAAGTAGTTATCTGCATGACATAATGAATATTCCATGACATATTCCAAACTCTGACATGTTTGTTAACATATGGGAATTTGGTTTTATGGTTACATAGCTCCAATTATATGCATGTTAATTTAAAAAATAATTCACTAAATAGAGATTTTTGGAGTTATATGCATGTAAGGAATAAGTACAAACAGGGTAAGGTCTGCTCTTTTAGAGGTGTTGAGGCAGAAAAAATGGTTGAGAAATATACATCTTCAACAGTAAGTTTCCTATTAATGAAAATAATTTTGTTTCAAAGAAAGGTGCTAAATATTTAAAATTATGTGAATCTTTATCAACTAATTGGAACCAAGATATACTTACTTTACTGTGGCACTGAGAAGGAAGTTCAACTGTGGCATTAACAGGTTGTCTGGGGCTGACAGGTAACGATCAAACTGCACCTAAATAAAACAGAGAAATGTAAAATAAAGTTCATATATTTCCTAATAGACAACTCAAAATATATTACCGTAGCTTTTAAGGGTTAAATATTCAGCAAAATCCCACATTCCAAATAACAAGTTCATTGTGATCAAAATGAGTTACTTCCTTAAACATTCTAACTAAACTCCCTAAAAGTATCAGCTTTTTAATGTAGTCATAACCAGCAATGTCTACTTATATATTTTATTGATTTTTCACAGAGAGGAAGGGAGAGGGATAGAGAGTTAGAAACATCATTGCAAGAGAAACATTGATCAGCTCCCTCCTGCACAACTCCTACTAGGGATGTCCCCGAAACCAAGGTATATGCCCTTGACCAGAATAGAACTTGGGACCTTTCAGTCCACAGGCCAATGCTCTATCCACTGAGCCAAACCAGTTAGGGCAGTAATACCTACTTTTAAAATTCTGAATCTTAGCCATTAATTTTCATTTCCCTCACCAAGCTTTTGAGCAATAATATTAGCAAAAAGTAGTCATTGGATTTCAAATCTACCTTACTTTTTAAAATCCATTGTATTTGTTATTTGTTCACTCAACTAATATTTACCAAACATCTACCATTAGAAACACACTATATTAGGTAATGCAAATATAATGGTAAATGAAAGAGGACAGTCCCTAGCCTCATAGAGCTAATAGCCTAGTAAAGAAAGGTAGTAAATAAATAATAATGTAAGTAGATATATATTTACAAACTGTATTAAATGGTATCGAATAGTAAGAAAGAAACCAAAGTACTATAAAAGCATAAACAGGAAGGACAGACCTATTCTGTATGTTTGACATTTTAAGTAAGATCTTAAGAATAGACATTAACTGTGTGTATGATGGGGGATTCAGGGAGTGGGATGGCATGCATGGAAACAAGGACAGAAAGAGAATGGCTAATAGTTAATGTTCAACTTGTATGCTTTTTTAAAGGATTTTAATTCTGACTGTAAAAGCACTAGGAAACCACTGAAGCAAGGGAATAACCTGGCTATTGCAAGAAGAATGGATGGGAAGGTTGTAATGGTAGTTGCAAGTACAAGAAAGAGAGAGCTACATCCTTCTGGACAACCTTCCAGATGAAGCCGGGGTTGCGAGGACTGAGGCAAGAATGACCTTCCTGAATAACCAGTGGTCAGGGGGCAGAGCCAGTGATCCTGTGCTGCCAGGACAGCCATGGCAGTCCCAGCACCCCCTTCCACAGAGGCGGTGGGAGAGGCAGTGGGATAGGCCTGTGCTTTCTGCAGAAGCGGTAGGAGAGGGGACAGCATGGTCCCAGCACCTCACAGAGGTGGGATGGGGCGTGACCATGGCGCCTCAATCTCCCGTGGCCCCTCCCCCATCTGGCCCGGTCCCTAATTGGCCCCCCTAACCAGTGGGTGGGAGGCAAGGACAGTACTAAGGAACAGCAAGCCAACTTCTGGTTGAGCAGCACTCCCTCCCACCTGTGCTCAGCCAGAAGCTGGGCTCACAGGTGTCGAGCACAAGGAGCAAGGGGTACCAGACTATGAGAGCCCTGAACTGCGAGAGGGATGTCTGAGTGCTGGTTTAAGCACAGGGGTATTGGGCCTAAGCCGGCAGGTGGACATCCCCCATGGGGTCCCACACTGCAAGGGGGCACAGGCCAGGCTGAGGGACCCCCAAGAACCCAGTGCATGAATTTCGTGTACCAGGTCTCCAGTAGAGCAATAAAGGTGAAGAGGAGAGAAAAATTTGAGAGAATTAAAAAGTAAAATTATCAAGATTTGGTTAGTGATAGGATGAAGGGATTGACTCTCAAATTTTGCATCTGTATAATTTAATTTACAGTATTATCACAAATCATAACTATATAATTTAGACATTTATTTAGTTGTGTAACAGCTGCATCCTTTACTAGATTGTGTGTCTTTTCATCCCAATTTTAGTATATTGCCTAGAAAACAGCCGATACTTGGTCAGTAACTATTGATATAATAAATGGCTAGATTCTCTTTCCATTGTGGGCCCAACAGCTTTTGCATATGAATGGACTGTCTTTTCTCAGCCTGGCTACACAGGTGGGTCACGTCTGAGCATTTCCAAACCCAATAAAAAGAGAAGGAATCTGCAGAATTCTCACGCTGGGCGATCCAAGGCAGTGGCTGACTTTGCACCTCCCTCCAAGAGCCAGTATACCCAATGGTCAGTGTGAGATCATACCAGATTACAACTCATCACATCTGTAAGCGACACACTCACTGCACAGACTCAGTGAGCACCAAAGCCACACTTAAGCAAGTCCTGCCCATAAAGGTGTCTCCTGCCCAGCAGCTCTTTCATTGTAGGCACAGCTGGTTCTCACAGCCAATTAGCTGGAGGTCAATTACTCACAGTGATATCAACAGCATAAGGCTTAAATACAGCAAGACTATGCATACAGCCCACAAAGGGGTACAACAAGAGCATCCACCTCAGGTGACTGGGGAGGCTGGGCCACTGGGCCCTATAGGACACCTACCACAAAAGACCACTCCATCAACTCAAGGAGACTTAGCAGCTATTCAATACATAGAAACAAACACAGGGAAGCAGCCAAAATGAAGAGACAAAGAAACATGACACAAATTAAAGAAATGCATGAAAGCAAACTACCGGATGTAGAGTTCAAAACCACAGTTGTAAGGTTACCCAAGAATCTTCTAGAAACCTCCAAGGAACTTATTGGGACCTTCAAGGATCTTAATGAGAATGCCAAAAAATTAGAAAATAACCAGTCAGAAATTAAGCATACACTGACTGAAATAAAGAATAATATACAGAGATTCAACAGCAGACTAGAGGATCCCAAGAACCAAGTCAAAGATTTGAAGTACAAGGAAGCAAAAAACACCCAACCAGAAGAGCAAAAAGAAAAAATAATCCAAAAACATGAAGATAGTGTAAGAAGCCTCTGGGACAACTTCCAGCATACAAACATCCAAATTATGGGGGTGCCAGAAAAAGAGAGAGAGCAAGATATGGAAAACCTATTTGAAGAAATAATGACAGAAAACGTCCTCTACCCGGTGAAAGAAATAGACTTACAAGTCCAAGAAGCACAGAGAACCTCAATCAAGAGAAATCCAAAAAGGACCACACTAAGACACATCATAATTAAAATGCCAAGGGCAAAAGACAAAGAGAGAATCTTAAAAGCAACAAGAAAAAAAGATAGTTACCTACAAGGGAGTACCCATATGATTATGAGCTGATTTCTCAACAGAAACTATGCAGGCCAGAAGGGAGTGGCAAGAAATATTCAAAGTGACGAATAGCAAGAACCTACAACCAAGATTACTCTATCCAGCAAAGCTATCATTTAGAATTATAAAAGAGCTTCACAGACAAGAAAAAGTTAAAATAGTTAATCACCACCGAACCAGTATTATATGAAATATAATAGAAGAGGACAAAAAAGAAAAAGATAAAGATAAAAAATTATGAACAACAAAGTGACAACAAATACATATTTATCAACAAGTGAATCTAAAAATTAAGTGAATAGAAAATCTAAAGAACAGAATAAACTGGTTAATGTAATAGAATCAGGGGCATGGAAAGGGAGCAGAGCAAACTGACAATTCTTGGAGGGAAGGGAAGCCGTCCAAGAAGAGATTGGACAAAGAGCTTACACCTGTGGATGAGGACAGTGGGGAGGTGAGGGCCTAGGGTGGGAAATGAGTGGCGGGTAGCTACGGGTGGGGAGGGGAGAGGAACAACTGTAATAATCTGAATAAAGTTTAAAAAAAAAAAGTTGTAGTACATATATACAATGATGTGTTACTTGGCCATAAAAAAGAATGAAATCTTACCATATGCAAATGGATGGATTTCAAGGATATTATGCTAAGTAAAATAAATCAAATAGAAAACAAAAAATACCATATGATTTCCCTCATACAAGGAATTTAAAGAACAAAATAAATAAACAAACAAAACAGGAACAGACTTGTAGATACAGAAAACAGACTGATGATTGCCTGAGGGGAGGGGAATTGAGGGGCTGGTGAAGAAGGTGAAAAGTACAAACTGGTAGTTACAAAATAGTCATGGGGATGTACAAGTACAAGAAATTGTAATAACTAGTTATCATGTCAGGTAGGTACTTGAAATAACAGATGGAGTATATGATTGTCTAATCACTATACTGTACACCTGAAACTAATCCAAAATAACATTGAATGTAAACTGTAATTGAAAAATAAAATTAAAATAATTTTTAAAAAATATATTTTATTGATTTTGTACAGAGAGGAAGGGAGATAGAGAATTAGAAACATCGATGAGAGAGAGTCATCGATCAGCTGCCTCTTGCACACCCGCTACTGGGGATATGCCCGCAATCAAGGTACATGCCCTTGACCAGAATTGAACCCGGGACCTTTCAGTCCCCAAGCCGACGCTCTATTCATTGAGCCAAACCGTTTTGGCTAAAATAAATTTTTAAAAAGAATAATGTTACGTAAGAAAACCTATATTGAAATCCTTTATTATGAACTTACCATTGCAGCCTTCAGTGCCACAGAATCTAGGTTGGGAAAATTAGCCAAAGGACCCTAAAATAAATAAATAAATAAATAAATAAACAAACAAACAAACAAACAAACAAACACACAAACAAAAAAGAAAAGGAAACAAGATGCAAAAAACATGCAGTTCATTTATAAAATACTAAAGGCCCAATGCCTGAATTTGTGCACAGGTGGGATCTGGCCAGCCTGGCCACAATCAGGGCAGATTGGGACTGGGCCTGTCAGGAGGAGTCATGTGAAGTTGAGGAGAGGGGCCGAGGGCAGTTGACTGGTGGTCCCCACCCTTGATTGGGGTTGGAGGACTGATCAAGGTTCGGCAGCTGGGGGAGGGGCTGTGGAGGTTAGCCGGACTACCCCACCCCTGACTGATGTATGTGGGTCCAATACAGAGCTGGCTGGGAAGAGGGGCCTCAGGAGGTTGTCCAATCAGCCCTGCCCTTGATAGGTTGATAGGGGCCTATCAGGGGCGGAGCCAGCCGGGTGGGGGAGAGGCTGCAGGAGGGTGGCCAGCTGGCCATATTCCCTATTACGTGTGTGTGGGTGATCAGGGGCTGAGCCAGCCAGGGGGAAGGGCCACAGGGGCAGGAGGTTGGCCAGTCATCCCACCCTCGATCAGGGTGGGAGAGGTCAATCTGGGGCAGAGCCAGCTGGGGGTAGGGACCCTGGGAGGTTGGAGGCTGGCCCTATCCCAGATTGGGCCAGTTCATTGGCTGCAGTGGGCGTCATAGCGACTGGTCATTCTAGTCATTCCAGCATTCTGGTCACTGGCTTTTTATAATATACACTGAGTGGCCAAATTATTATGATCTCTAAATGCCTAATAATCTGGCCACTCAGTGTATATCCTATGTAATAAAAGGCTAATATGCAAATTGTCCCCTTGACCAGGAGTTCTATCAGCAGGCAGGGCAGCCAACTGCCCACGTTTCCTCCCCCTGGCCAGGCTTGTTGGACCCCACCTATGCACCAATTCATGCACTGAGCCTCTAATATACTACACAAACACACACACACACACACACACACACACACACACACACACTGAGTAGCCAGATGTGTTCAAAGATCATAATAATCTGGCCACTCAGTGTAGATAGTCCATTAGTGAATTGCCTACATTTGGAAATTTAGCTTATTACCAAAGAACTCGTGTCATCTCTTCAACCTCAATTATAACAGGGATCATGATATGTTCATTTTATATAAGTAGCAGAAAGGTACTCAATAATATTTGTTGGAGAGAGTAAAATGTGCATATTAACAATGGAAAAATCAGGATATCTCACATAAGCAAAAAATGAAAAAATGCAATCAGGCAGTTAGAGAATGGCAGTGAGACATGGAGTCTTTAAGTGTTAGACTTTGACAACTTTATCGTAGCTAATAAAAGGATAATATGCAAATCGACTGTCACTCCAACACACAAGGTGGCTGCCCCCATGTGGACACAAGATGGCTAGCAGGGGAGAATGGTTGGGAGGGACCAGGCCTGCAGGGAGGGCAACTGGGGGCAACCAGGCCTGCAAGGAAGGGCAGTTGGGGGTTATCAGGCCAACAGGAAGGAGCATTTAGGGGCAATCGGGCCAGCAGGGGAGCAGTTAGGTGTCAATCAGGCTTGCAGGGGAGTGGTTAGGGGCAATTAGGCAGGCAAGCAGCCAGGCAGGCAAGCAGTTAGGAGTCAGCAGTACTGGATTGAGAGGCATGTCTGACAGCCTGTTTAAATGGGCAGTCGGACATCCGTAGAGGGGTGCCAGATTGGAGAGGGTGCGGGCTGGGCTGAGGGACACCCTTCCCTGTACACAAATTTTGTGCACCAATCCTCTACTATAGTATAAAAATACAACAGTGTTGGTTCCTTAGGGAAGAAATTTGCTTACTGCTGTATCATAAGAGAAAACTTAAGATTTTTTACAGCTTTATTTAAGAATTGCTGGGATATAAAATATTCCTTTTTTTCTTTCTTAAGATATTACATGTGTCCTTCTACCCCCATTGTAATATATTCTTCATGTTAACATCATTTAAAAGAGCCCTTTGCTTTTTTAAAGAAAGATGCTTACTTACCTAATTTTCAAGGGTTTCCACCACTCCATTATGAATTTCTATTGGAATTCTATAACTTAATAAGATTATATACTGGCTTCATAAGTATATACTTTTCTAGAGTAATATACCATGATTTGCTAAATTAAAAAAGAGATGACTGCTATTCATATAGTAATGTCTGAGTTCAATTAACTAATAATGATATAGGGCTCTAAAATTTTTTCCAGGATATTCTTTATATATTTTATACTAATTTTTATATATTTTCATTACTTTTAACCCAAACCGTCTATAATAAAAAGATAATTCATAGAACCATACATGTAGGTATTATCTCATTTACTCTAAGACCAACCCTTTGAAGCACATATTATTACCCCAATCTACAAAAGAAGAAATGGAGATACGTCATTTTCTTAGTGAAAAACAGCTATTAAGTGGAAGAGCCAAGATTCAAACCAGAGTCTAATTATAGAATCCATACTCTAACCTGATGTATTTCTCTAATTATTAGTAGGTACATCCACATGCTTACCTGTTCAGGTTTATGTTGCTGTATGGTGTTATAGATGTAACTCAATCCTGACCTAGTTAAAACGTAAGAAGCTTGCTCATTTATAAGTGTGTCCAAATGTGCTTCAACCTAAGATAAAACACAATAAAAAGAAAATATTTTAAAAGACTTATAAGACCGATGAGAGTAGAAGTAGACTATCCTGCAGTCTTAGTTCTTCACCATGGGGCTGTTTCTTGAAGTAGTTATGATACCAGACTGTGGGCACAGGGACTGCTTCTGTAACAAAGGCACTTTCTTCCCCTGAAGAGGAAGTCCTAAGGAGAAAAAGCCTTACTTTCAAAGACATTTAAAGAGGATTCCAAGACTAGCCACTAGTCCAAAATTTTGAGTTGCTTTTCAGCTCTTTTAAAAGCTGGTAATAAGCCCTAGCTCAGGCGTCCTCAAACTTTTTAAAGTGGGGGCCAGATCACGGTCCCTCAGAGAGCTGGAGGGCCGGACTATATGAACTACTAATTCCTACTGTAACACCTCGGCTGCGCTCACTGCCCAAAAAACCTGGCGGGCCGGATCAGACTCCTTTGCGGGCCACATGTGGCCCGCGGGCCGTAATTTGAAGACGCCTGCTAGCTGGTTTGGCTCAGTGACTAGAGCATCAGCCTGGGATTGAAGGGTTTCAGGTTCCATTCCAGTCAAACCTGACTGCCCAGGTTGCAGGCTCAATTTCCAGTAGGGGGTATGCAGGAGGCAGCCACTCAATGATTATTTCTCATCAATTATGTTTCAATCTCTTTCTTCCTCTCCCTACCTCTCCGAAATCAATTCTGGGAAAAGTAAGAGCCTGATGTTCTTAACCTCCTCACTCCCTCGCCCTCCTAACTACCTAGCCTGACTCCAACACTCAAATATGCCAACTGGAAAAGCCTGAATTAAATCCCATTAGGGCTGAGGCAGTAAGTTCTCTGAGGAGAAAGCAGATCTGTGACAACAAGAGGAGAGTTGAGGAAGGTTAAAGATTTCAGACTCAAGAGCTGCCTAAGACCCAGGTAGCAGAAATGACTTGTATGTGCTAGCTGCTTTGTGCTGTGTTTGGGAAGCCAGAGGCAGAAGGCACAGAAGGGAACTACCCTACTGGGTTGAAATATTCCCTAGTGGGAAGAAATCTGCTGTTCCCTTATTTTTACCAGTATAGGCCTGAGAGTCTGGAGGTCTTCTTCTATTCCTCACAGGAAGTTCCCTCAGTTTTACCAGTTTGTTTGCCAGTAATACAGTACACTACTAACTGCTATTACCATCAGAATGCTTGCCACTGACTTAAGTAACTCCAATAGGAGCCCCTTTTAAAACTTAAAAATGATTTAAAAAGAGGCGAGTAGCTTCTAAGAGAGAACACATCTGAATAATCAGAATAGGTATCTCTTCTCTAAGTAACACTACTGAAAGACACCAAGTACTTTATTTTTATTTTTTTAAGTGAATCCCCAAGAAAGTAAAATGAGTCCTTACTAGATTTACTGGGAATCAAAGAAAAACAAAATGTGCAAATGTAAACATTTAATGAAAGAGTTACTGATAAGATCCAAATTAGTATCTAAAAGAAAAATGGAAGAAAAGTAACATGGAATAAACATCAAAGAAATAGATTACAGAAATTAGAATATAGACTCAATAGATAAAGTCAAATAAGTACTGGAGTTTCAGATACAAAAATAATAGATGAAGAATAATTAAAGATAATACAAACTTTATTGAGAAAAAGAAAGGGTTAAATCTTCAGACTGAAATGGCTCTGGAAAGTTCAATATAAAAATAAGGGAAAAAGAGATATACCAAAAAATATTCTGAGGAAATATATGAACTCAAAGGAACAGCCTCACAAGTTTCCAGATGGATAAAACAGATTGTCACAAACAAAAGAGAAAAAGACTAGCCTGGCATTTTTACTTGAAACACTAAGTAAAGCTGAGTCAGAATAGAAAAAGAAAAGGTCTGACAATCAAGGAACTTTTACTCAACAAAATAAACTGCTAATTTTCGGGGCCTGATAAACCACATCTTCTAGTATGCACATCCTTGTATAATCCGTTCACACACTATGGGTTGGTCCATGCCACTAGCACCAGCCAGAATGCAAGTGCACACCTAAGCACTTACACAGTGGGGCCTGCTCTCTTGAAATGCAAAATAAATAAATAATAAATCTATGAATATTTAAGAAATGCAGGTAATTGGTGATAAAACATTGATAAATACCTGATATACTTAAATACCTAAAAAAAGATTTAGACAAATGAAAGAATTTGAAATTGAAATAATGATAAGTACAGTAAAAACTAATATGCTTAAAAATAAATTTACTAATTTTATATAAAACTATGCAAGAAAGGAAAATTAATCATACTTCATTATATTTCTTTTTAAATAGAAAATATCATTAATTTAGAGGGAGCACACTCATTCTTCAGAAAACCACAAAACTTTACAAATAAATGTTTACTGTAACCACTGCCAAACTGTTCATATATTTGTGATAACACAACATTCAGGGTTTTAAAAAATTACGTATATCTACCAATAATCACTATTTCAAAATCAGAATTCAAGTATCTGGTAAATTTTCTACAAGGCTTTTTTTAGCCATTTTATAAAATGCTAAGTGATACCGTTTGGATAAGGAAGAGAGTGATTGATATAATAAATTGTAATGTTTTACCTAACATTGGTTTATACACCTTCTGCACTTGCCACACCATAGCATATTCAGTTCAGAAACTAAAATCTGCATACAGAATAAATGTTCAAATTAATCAGAAAAGCTTTATTCTACCACTACATACTGTATATACTATCTACTCATAACATACTCTGACTTCTCCAAAGCAAAACTAAATGATTGCCCTGACTGGTTTGGCTCAGTGGATAGAGCGTCGACCTGCGGACCGAGGGGTCCCGGGTTCGATTTCTGTCAAGGGCATGTACCTTGGTTGTGGCAGCTGATCAATGTTTCTAACTCTCTATCCCTCTCCCTTCCTCTCTGTAAAAAAATCAATAAAATATATATAAACAAACAAACAAACAAACAAAAAACCCTAAAATGTGTGTGTGTGTGTACGCGCACGCAGCTTTTCATCAGACTATAAGGAAGAGTTTATAGGAATTAGGGCATAAAGCTAGTAACTGAGATTATATACAGAAAAATGATTCCATCAGAGTGAAGTCATTTTATGGCAAAATTAACCTGAAACTGTAGCATTTCTAGACGTCTGTCAGTAAATTCAAACAGAGCTAATGTTGTCTTCATCATATACAGTGAATTGACCATGAAAGTTGCCATGTCAGCTGTGCCTAAATTGCTGGCTGACACAGTACACATCTGAAGGAGAGGATCCAAGATACACGATAAAACCTGTAAATGAAATATAAAATAAAAATTATTCTTTAATTCCCAATCAGTGATACAGGCCTATACAGAATGCTAATGGTTAATGGCACTTCAGAATGAAAGTCAAACTAATTTGAAAGGTGCCAACTTACAGAATCACATAAGAAAAGATTAAATGGTATAATCAGAATACTTTTTCAAATGAGCATAATGGTATGAGTATTTTTTAAATTAAATTAAAGTATTTTTTAATGGTATAATCAGAATACTTTTTCAAATGAGCATAACGGTATGAGTATTTTTTAATATTTGAAAAAAAATCAATGAAAAGGTTTGTCAAACTATATGGATCATAAAATACCAGAATTTCAATGGAATTTACAATAGAAGAGTAATAAGCAATAATTAAAAACAAATTTACAACATACCTGCACAAAATCAGCTTGACGGGCATCTAATGGTACAACTGAGGAATCATGAGATGACAAAACTTCACGCAACAACATGAGTGTCTGATTTAATGCAGAACTTGGTCCAAGATCAGGTGGTGGGAGTTCAACCTAAAATAAGGTATGGTTTAGCCACTGCTTTAACTTTAACGTCGCACACTCTCTGAACTCAAAAGAAAGCAACTTATAAATTACCATGTGCGAAAATGGGTTCAGGTAGGAATATGCCTACTCTGTTTAGAGTTTGTCCTTGTGATTTATTAATAGTCATTGCAAATGCTGGCATCATAAGAAACTGTCTTTGAACTAATTTAAATGAAAGGCCAGTGTCAGAAGGGGACAAATCAATTCTTGGAATCAGACCAACATCTCCTTCTACAGATCCTGTGAATATTTCAGCTTTGATTATGTTAGATTGAAGCCTTTTGATAATAAATCTAGTAGAAATCTTAATTGTAAATGGGGTCTTTGTGATGATTGCACCTACTTTCAATTTTAATTTATGACACAGCATTCCCAAAGGAGTTATACTACTAAAAAATTCGATGGGAAATTTTTGCTTTTCAACATTATCTGTTGAATCAATGGAATTATCACTTAAATACATGTGAAAATCTCCATCAAATATATATCCGAAATTTCTTCATTTAATTTTTGAACATGCTCATTTTTTGGTCAAAGAATCACTGATTTAGATACATTTTTAATATTATCTATAGATATAGTATTTCCAAAGATTGCTTCAATAATAGATCCATTACAAATCATTTCACAGGGGATTTCAGTACTATCCATTCCTAAATAAAAACTGCTATCAAGTTTGCCATCTCCATGTTTTACTAATCATTCACTATAAGCAGAATATTCTGATCTCATATTTGTTTTAACAGACAATTTTCTGAAACATCCCCACACATTACAGTACTTTAAACTCGTTTGTACTATGGCTGATCACATAGCATGGGGCACAATTCTGAGACATTGTCAAAAATTCCCTCCAAGAAGGAGAACTTTTCCACCAAATGCAACATTTAAATTCATAATTTCTCTTAGTAATCTGTCTATGGTGCTTATAGCATGACTGAATAACATGGTGCATTCATCAATAAGAAGTTGGGCCTTTTTAATGGTTTTAGCAACTTCACTCTTTATATCAAGTCTAGAAATTGAAGTTTCATTTAATGGAATTGGTAATTTATATTGGTTCTTCCACCAAGAAGTAAATTCACAGCAATTCATGTAGATGCTGGGGGCAAAATACTGAATAGTACCACAAGCTCTAATATAATGTATTAAAACTTTATAAAGATACTAGAGGCCTGGTGCACAAAATTTTTGCACAGAGGGGGGTTGGGGGTGTCCTCACCCAGCCTGCACCATCTCCAATCTGGGATCCCTCTCACAATCAAGGACTGCTGGCTCCAAATGGCTTGCCTGCATGCCTGCCTGATTGCCCCTAACTGCTTCTGCCTGCCAGCCTGATCATCACCACTCCCCTGCTATCCTGATTGATGCCAAACTGCTCCCCTGCAAGCCTGATTGCCCCTAACTGCTCCCCTGCCTGCCTGGTCACTCCTAACTGCCCTCCCCTGCTGGCTTGGTTACCCCTAACTGTCCTCCCCTGCTGTCGCAGTCACCCCTAATTGTCCTCCCCTGATGGCCTGGTTGACCCTAAATGCCCTCCCCTGTTGGCCTAGTTGCCCCCAACTACCCTCCCCTGCAGGCCTGGTTCCCCCAACTGTCCTCTCCTGCAGGCTAGGTTGTCACCTACTGCCATCCACTGAAGCCCTGGTTCCCCCCCAACTACCCCCTCTGTAGGCCTGGTCACCCCCAACTGTCCTCCCCTGCAGGACTGGTCTCTACCAACTGCCCTCCCTCCCCCGAATGCCCTGTCACCCACAACTGCCCTCCCCTGCTGGCCTTGTTACCCACACCTATCCTACCAAACTTGCCCGATCGCCCACAACTACCCTCTGCTGCCTGCCATCTTGTGGTGGCCATCTTTGACTACATGGGGGCAGTCATTTGTGCAAGTGTGTGGGTCAATTTGCATAATATATCTTTATTATATAGTACACATGAGTCTATTTGAACTCATCTTATTTAGAGGTCCTTGAATTATTTCTTTACTTGTATCTTTAATCAAACATGGGAATTTCTTAGCTATTATTCCATCAAATATTCTCTCTTCACTTTTCTCTCTTCTTTTTCTAGCATTTCCACAATATACAAGCTGATCTGATTAATAGTACTCCACAGGTCACTTAGGCTCTGTATTTTCAACTGATTCCTCAGACTTGAAATTTCCATTGAACTATCTTTAAGGGCATTAAGTCATTCTTCTGCCTGCTCAAATCTTTAATTTTTTTTTTATTAAAGTATTACATATATGTCCTTATCTCCCTATTATCCCACAACCACCCTCCCATTCATGCTTTCAACCCCTTGTTGTCTGTGCCCATCAACTGGTAAGGCTTATATGCATGCATACAAGGCCTTTGGTTTATTTTTCCCCTTTATCTCCACCCTCCCCTACCTTCCCTCTGAGGTTTGAAGGTCTAAAAGATGCTTCTCTGTCTCTAGATCCATTTTTGTTCATCAGCTTATATTGTTCATTATTTTCCACAGATGACTGAGATCATGTGATAGTTATCTTTTTCTGATTGGTTCATTTCATTTAGCATAATACTCTCCAGTTCCATTCATGCTGCTGCAAATGGTAAAAATTCCTTCTTTTTTACCCTAGCATAGTATTCCATTGTGTAGATGTACCATAGTTTTTTAATGCACTAATCTGCTAATGGGCACCTAAGAAGATTCCATATCTTAGCTATGATAAATTGTGCTGCTATGAGTGTAGATGTGCATATATCCATTCGATAGGTGTTTCTAGTTTCTTGGAATATATTCCTTGAAGTGGGATTACTGAGTCAAATGGGAGTTCCATTTTTAGTTTTTGAGGAAACTCCATACTGTTCTCCACAGTGGCTGCACCAGTCTGCATTCCCATCAGCAGTGCACAAGGGTTCCTTTTTCTCTGCAACCTCGCCAGCATTTGTCCTTTGTTGATATGTTGATGATGGCCATTCTGACAAGATGAGATGTGTCTGCATTGTTTTTTTCATTTTCATCTCTCAGATGATTAGTGACTTTGAGCATGTTTTCAAATATTTCTTGGCCTTCCTTATGTCTTATTTTGTTGACCATTTTTTTATTGGGTTCTTTGTCTTCCTTTTGTTAATTTGTATGAGTTCCCAGTAAATGTTGGAGATTAAACCCTATTGGAGATAACATTGACAAATATGTTCTCCTATGCAGTGGGCTTTCTTGTTGTTTTGCTGATGGTTTATTTTGCTGTGCAGAAGCTTTTTATTTTGATGCATTCCAATATGTTTACTTTTCCCTTAGTATCTATTGTCCTTGGAGCTGTATCATTAAATATATTGCTATGACAAATGTCTGCTATTTTGCTACCTATGGCTTCCTCTAACATTTTAATGGTTTCCCATCTTAGGTTTAAGTTCTTTATCCATTTTGAGTTTATTTTTGTGTATGGTGTAAGTTGGTGGTCAGTTTCATTTTTTTTTTTGCATATATCTGTCCAATTTTCCAAACACCATTTATTGAAGAGACTGTTTGACTCCATTGCATGTTCTTGCCTCCTTTGTCAAATATTAATTGAGCATAGTGGTTTGGGGTGATTTCTGGGTTCTCTATTCTATTCCATTGGTCTATATGTCTTTTCTTGTGCCAGTACCAGGCAGTTTTGAAAACAGTGGCTTTGTAATACAGCTAAATAGCTGGCATTGAGATCCCTCCAACATTGTTTTTCTTTCTCAGGATTGTTGCAGCTACTCAGGGCCTTTTTTTTTTTTTTTTTTTTTTTTTTTTTTTTTTTTTAATTCCAGATGAATTTTTGGAGAGTTTGTCCTAGATCTTTGAAATATGCCATTGGTATTTTGATAGGGAGTGCATTGAATGTGCAGATTACTTTAGGTAGTATGGGCATTTTATTTATGTTGATTCTACAAATACATGGACATGGTATGTTCTTCCATCTGTTTGTGACTTTGAGCTGAACCCAATTTGATAGAATTTTGTTGAGAATTTTAGCATCTATGTTCATCAAGGATATTGGCTTGTAATTCTCTTTCATTGTGTTGTCTCTATATGATTTTTGTATTACAGTGATGCTGGCTTCATAAAATGAGCTTGGAAGTGTTCTGTCCTCTTGAATTTTTTGGAAGTGTGAGGAGGATAGGTTTCAGTTCTTCCTTGAATGTTTGGTAAAACTCCCCTGTGAAGTCATCTGGCCCCAGGCTTTTGTTTGTTTTTGATGACTGCTTAAATTTCTTCTACAGTTATTGGCCTATTGAGATTTTTAGATTCTTCCTGATTGAATTTTGGAAGGTTGTATTTTTCTAGGACTATGTCCATTTCATCCAGGTAGTCTAGTTTGATGGATAAGAGTTGTTCAGAGTATTTATTAACAATGTTTTGTTTTTCTCTGGAACTTATTCTTTTACCTCTTTCATTTCTGATTTTATTTGGGTCCTCTCTCTTTGCTTCTTGGTGAGCCTGACTAGAAAGGTTCATCAATCTTGTTTATCCTTTCAAAGTACGAGCTCTTGGTTTCTTAGATCTTTTGTATTGTTTCTCTGGACTGTATGTCATTTATTTCTGCTCTGATCTTTATCATCTCCTTCCTTCTGCTCACTCTGGGCTTATCTTGTCACTCTCTTTCTAATTCTTTAAGTTGTATAGTTACAGGACTGCTTTCATTGTTTCACAGATTTTGGATTGTTGTGTTTTCATTGTCATTTGTTTCCAGCATGTTTTTAATTTCTTCTTTGATCTCTTTGGTAACTCAATCATTGTTTAATAGCATGCTATTCAGCTTCCAAGTGTTTGAATTTTTTTATTGTTTTTATTGTAGTTTATTTCTAATATTATGCTATTGTCCTTTGAGAAGATGCTTGATATGATTTCAGTCTTCTTTAATTTGGAGAGACCTTGCTTGTGACCCAATTTGTGGTCTAACTTTGAAAGTGTCTAATGTGCACTTGAGAAGAATGTGTATTTTCTGGCTTTGGGGTGAAATGTTTTGAAGATGTCAATTGATTCCAACTGGTCTAGTGAGTTATTTAGGATTGCTATTTCTTTGCTGATTTTTTGTCTAGAGGATTTATCCAGTGATGTCAGTGGTGTATTAAAGTTTCCTACTATGATTGAATTGTTGTAGATCTCTCCCTTAATATCTTTCAATCATATATATATATATATATATATATATCAATATATCAATATATCTATATCTATATCTATATCTATATCTATATCTATATCTATATCTATATATATATATGCTCCTGCATTGGGTGCATATATGTTTATCAGGGTTATATTCTCTTGTTGTATCTATCCCTTTAGTATTATGAAGTGGCTTCCCTTATCTCTTGTTATGGCCTTTATTTTGAGGTCTAATTTGTCAGATATAAGAATTGCTACCCCAGTTTTTTGGGGTTTTTTTTTCATTTCCATTTGCCTGAAAGATGTTTTTCCATCCCTTCACTTTCAGTCCACATGAGTCCCTTTTACTGAGGTGGGTCTCTTGTAGACTTCATATACATGGGTCATGTTTTTTCATCCCTTCAGTCACTGGATGTCTTTTGATTGGAGCACTTAGTCCATTTAAATTTAAAGTTGTTATTGAAAGGTACTTGTTTGTAACCATTTTTATTTTTTGTGGCATTCCTTCTTACGTTTTTTTTTTCTTTTTATAGCATTCCCTTTAGCATTTCTTGCATTGCTGGCTTAGTAGTGATAAACTCCCTTAGCCTTTTTCTTCTTGTTAAGCTCCTTATTTCCCCTTCAATTTTGAACAGCAGTCTTGCTGGATAAAATATTCGTGGATTCAGTCCCTTGCTTTGCCTCACTTTTTAAATTTCCTTCCATTCTTTTCTGGCCTGATGTGTTTCTGTTGAGAAATCATTTTATAATCTAATGGGAGATCCCTTTGTACCTAACTTTCTGTCTCTCTCTTACAGCCTTTTAAAGATTTTCTCTTTGATCTGAAGGTTTGCCATCATAATTAGGATGTGTCTTGGTGTGGGTCTTTCTGGCTCATCTTGTTTGAGATTCTCTGTGCTTGTGTGAATTTTTCTTCTCCACATCAGGAAAGTTTTCTGATATTAATTCTTAAAATAGGATTTCTAACCCTTGTTCCTCTTCCTTTTATTCTTGCACCTCTACTATTCATATGTTGCTTCGTTTCATGTTGTCCCAAAGCTTCATTAGGGTCTCCTCCTGTCTTTTCATTTTTTTCTCCAATTGTAGTTCAGTTTGGGTGTGTTTTGCCTCCCTGTCGTCTAATTTGCTAATTTGGTCCTCCATTTCTCCTAGTCTACTGTTGAAACTTAACCATGGTGTTTTTTATTGCAGCTATATCACTCTTCATTTCTTCTTGATTCTTACATAAGTTGATTTTTTTCATCCACCTGGTTTATGAACTGCATGATTCTAAATTCCTTGTCTGACATATTGCACGCCTCTGTTTCATTTAGCTGCTTTTCTGGTGATTCCTCCTTTTTCTTTCCTTTGGGAGTTTATCTACCCATTTTTTCTCACCAGGGTACTTAGGTGTCGAGCTGAGCAGGGGCTGCCCCTTCGGTGGCAATGGCTCCTCATGCAGCGGCTGCTCTTCAGTCGCAGCAGCAACTACTCCTCAGTTGGCAGTTGCGCCTCTTGTAAGCGCTGTTCATAGCAGTGGTGGCTCCTCTGGTTGGTTGGGGGAGACTGCTCCACAGCTGTTGCTCTTCGGAAGGGGTGGGCTGTTCATGAAGCTTCTCCTCCTTGGGCTGGGGTGGACTGTGCGGCTGCTGCTCCTGGGAGGGGGGTAGGCTACTTGTGTTGCTATTGCTCCACTGACAAGGGCAGGCTATTCACAGGGATGCTACTCCTTCAGTGGGGCAGGTTGTACGCAGCTGTTGCTCCTTGGAAGGGGGCAGACTGTTTGTGTGGCTGCTGCTCACAGGGTTGCTGATCCTAAGATGGATGCAGGCTGCTTGTGCAACTGCTGCTCCTGGGATGGGGGTAGGATGCTCACAATCTGCTGCTCCTTGGATGATGGCAGTCTGCTTGAGGGGACTGCCTCTCATTGGATGGGCGCAGGCTGCTCGCAAGGCTACTGCTCCTTGGACAGAGGCAGGTTGCTCACAGGGGTAAGGTCATCATTTCCCCCCCCATTATTTTTGTGCTTTTTAGGTTCTCTAACTCTTTGGTATTTCCAACCTGTTCATACACTGTTTTCTTACTCTCCATATTCTAGATATTTAAGATTAATACCAATATTCCTCAAGTGGCTATCTTTGGAATTATTTTTGACCCCTCCCTATAATTTGCTAAGATCCAGTCAGTCATCAAGTTAGGAAAATTTATATTTACCTTTCAAGAATCTATCCTTCATGGCTCTTCCTAGAAGCCTTCGAGCACATATTTCCATTAAAATTACTTCGTTAGTGCCCTAATTAGCCAATTTGCAACCTAGCCTTTCTCCTATTTATATGGCATACTACTTTCCAAGTGATATTTTTATTAAATGAAAAATTTTTTTATTTGTGACTCAGAGCTTGTGTTCTTGCATGTTTCATTTATTTCCTCTACTCAGGATGATCTATACTCAGTCCTATCTAAATCCCCCATAACCTTCAAAGTTCAATTCCTTTATGTCCCTCTCAGAAAAGCTCCTCTCTGCAAAGGAGTATATGAAGGTATACTCTTCTTAATATGTTAAGAGGCCTTGAACACACACCTTTCAAAAAACGTGATTCTGTAGTAATCACCTATTTATTAGACTATTTTCTGCTAAAGGAGAAACAATTTGAGGCAAATAGACCTTGATTGTTTGATTTTGAATTCTCATCACCTAGCACATTTATTCATGTTTAAAGTTTTTATCATATATAAATAATTTCTTTAAAATTTTATCAAAATAAAAATGCCTATAAATTATATACATAACCAGAATTGTTAGTAAACTTTTTGTGTAAACAAAAATACATAAAACAGAAAAAATATAAGATAAATATTCCAGTTCTACAAATTCATGCTGCTTTTACAAAAGAATTTGAGTCATGTATGGGGGTCACAAAGAAAACTCCTTATTAAGGCTTCTCTGTGTTCAGGAATGTAAAATTTGACAAGATACTCTAGATTGCTACTGACTGTCATACACTATATTATAAAACCTGTGCCTAATATATCCAGGCTATTAGATACAATAACATAGTTAAAAAGGAAAAGAAGATGCCAGCATAGTGACTATAATGCATCCTTGAAAAACTTTAGACTTTAATAACTAAAAGAAAAAAATTTAATCACTATAAACCCATTCCTTTAGGTCCTGTCACAACACACTGCTCAATTTAAAATATTAGTTCTCATAGGATTCTTCCAGGTTTCTGTTGCTGTTATTTATTTGGTTTTATTTCTTGGGGAAGGGGTTATTATCATGTTTATTTCCATAATAAATTATAGTACTAAATTCAAAGGAGCATACATTTTATAAAGACAAAGCTGGACCACCAGAGAGTAAAATCACAATAAGCTGTTTTAAAAAACATTAAGTAAGAGTTCCAGTTTTCTAAGTAGTATTTAATTTTAGCCCTGACCTAAATACAGTAAGATTGATTTAGTTACAAAATTTTGGTTATAGAAAAACGGTAGTGAAACTAGGGCTTAAGATCCTATCTCCAATTATGACTCAATGTTATGCTGTTCCAGGAATACAGGCTATAAGCATCCAGTAAGCATCTCAAAATGAATTTTGTTATTCATAGGAAGAACTCAAGAAAACATTTTATGGAATGAGAAAAAAAATCACCCAGTGTAAAATCAGCAAAACATTAAATGTGAAAGACACACATTCAAATAGTTTAAAAATTGCATTTTTCAAACATACCTTGTCCATTAATTTACTTGCATGAAGACTCAAGCTATTGAAGAATATTTTTTTGCTTAGCAAATGCATTTCTTCAATGGTAGTCAACAATGTGGTTGCACTATTTCCAACAATGCCACTAAAAGCAAAGAACATTTCAGGTTGTTCAATTCAGTTAATTGAATAAAATTATTTAGAAAGATATAGATTTAAATAAAAGTTTATTTTATTACATTTATTGGGATGACACTGTTCACAGATTGCAAGTGTACATTCCTATAATAAATGAAGTGTTTATTGCATTGTGTGCCCACCACCCAAAGTCAAATAGAAAAAATGTTTTTATATATAATAGAAGATTCATAATGGTATAAAAATTTACATCAGTAACTGTGAATTAAAACCAATTACTCTGGTTTCACATAAAAATGAGAGTTGGTGTATTTTTTATCTTTGTTTTTTCATTTTGAGTAAGAAATGAAGAAATGAAAATAAAGTACTATACTTTTTTCTCTTTTTCTTTTTAAATATATTTTATTGATTTTTTACCGAGAGGAAGAGAGAGGGATAGAGGGTTGGAAACATCGATGAGAGAGAATCATCGATCAGCTGCCTCTTGTACACCCCCTACTTGGGATGTGCCCTCAACCAAGGTGCATGTCGTTGACCAGAATAGAACCTGGGACCTTTCAGTCCGCAGGCCAACGCTCTATCCACTGAACCAAACTGGTTTCAGCAAAGTATTATATTTTTAGTACATCATAATCTCTTAAAAAAAACAAACCGTGGGTTAGAACAGACTCATAATATGCAAACCTATATTTCTATTTTTCCACTACTAACATAAATACATGACTTGTTTATCCAAGAATATATAATTTTAATTGTAGGAAAACCATTCCATCAATAGTTCTATGATATAACATTTAAACTTAATACTGAGTTATTCTTTGAATTAAAATTGTTATACCATATCAGTAACACACCTATGAATTACACTTTCTCAAAAATGTTAAAGCTACCTAAGTGATAGATATATATTTAGACTAATTATGAATAATGTGATATTTTGAAATAATAATCAGGCCATCTGCACTTCTCAATTTACCATTACAAGAATATTTCTTTAGACCCATTCAATGCGGTTTCCCATTTTTCCCAGGATATAAGACAAGCATGTATATAAGAAAATTCCCAATTTGATTTTCCTAATTCATGTACTGAAAGTGATTTTAAAATGTGTTTTTAGGAGAAAAGGGTTTTTGTTGATGCAAAAATATACTGTAATCCTGAAGGGAATAATTTCCACAGGCAAAATAACATATTACTTACTATACTAAAAAATGTTTAGATTACTAAAAATACATATAATGTTATTAATAAATAACAGTAGATAATAAACAAAAATACAACAAATTGACTGAGAACTGACACACTACATATGTTATAAAATACTAATACTATATATTTTAATATATTCTGAAATGAAAATATGTTGGGATAAACTTTTAAAGTTAATGGAGACAAAGCAAATTATCAATTTAAAAAATATATAAACAGTAAAGTAAAAGCAGATTCCTAAATAGGGACGTGTAATATTGTACTTTTTGAAAATTAAAGTATCTCAGTTAAAAATATTATAAGCTAAACACCAAAATAAATTGAAATTTCCACATATACCTAGCTATATAATAAAAATAAGTATGCCTCTTAATAAAAGTATAATACATCAAGGGAAGAGAAAAGAAAATTAAATGGATATAAAAAGAAACTGATATTTTAGTGAAAAATTTGGAGAGAACAATATATATATATTTACATCATTTATTTTTAAAAACTTGAGTTATCAGCCATATTTTGCAATTACTCAGATCTTGAATTTACTAACGTTTACTAAGTAATCACTAGACATCAGTAACCAGACCACATACTTGTAGATGTTTTTCTGTTTTGTTTTTTCTTTAGGCTCCCTGCCTGAATTTATTTGGATTCAGAAACCAATTTCCATTGAGCCCACTCTGGTTTCTTTAAAGCCATCAATACAAAGGCTAATCCTTATTATCATAACCTCTCAGTCATTATCTAGCTTGTCATATTTTGAAGACCAATTCATAGTTTCTAATCACTCACTTTTTCTCTTTTCTTATTTCTTTCCTCCTTCCCTTCTTTCTCTATTTCTTTTTTCCTTATTATAAAAGTACAATTGACCTATAATATTATATTAGTTTCAGGTGTACAACATAGAGATTCAACATTCACTTCATATTTCTACCCAATTTTTCATACTCTTATTACTTAATTTTTCAATGTTAGGTATTACATACAAATTCCCTGATATAGAAGATGAGAGCTAAATTCTCTTATACAATGCTCCTCCTCCAACTCAATACATGAACCTTCATCTTTCCCAGGCTTCCTAATTGTTATACCATAGCACTCCAGTAAATAAATATTCAATGTTTCATTATTACAAGCAAGTAAATACTATTCAGAGCTGACCAAGGAATCAGGGAATCCAACACAGGGAATTAGCAGGCTTATGAGAAGACAAACCCTAGGGCAATGTCCACGCAATAGCCTAAAGAACAACTAGTTTAGATTGGAGAAGTAGAATGAGGGCTCTGAGAGGGATGTGGGGAAGAGAAAAGAGGAGGTAAGTTGCATGTTCTTGAATATATGGTAAAAAATGCAGAGTCTACTTAATAGTTTAGGTCTAAAACAGTGATAAGGACACAGAAAAGTAAGCAAGTATAAAACCAAGCAGTTATTAACTACAGAAAGAAAATGTTTTATCAGAAAGAAAATGCAACAAAGTATACTGAACTCCCTGTTTCCTGGATTTCAAATCTTCCCTCTTTTGGTTTATTCTTGCATTGTGATAGAATCTATATTCTCCAGCAGTTTTAATGTATAGGAGAAAAAAATTGGGGGAACTTGCATTATCTCCTATTTTTTCCCAACTTCAGTGCCTATATTCTTTCCCAGTTTTCTTTGGGGTTTCTTCTCTTCTTAACCTCTAAATTAATAAATATTACAAGCATGTAACTATTCAGAGCTGACCTAATCTAGTTCACAGATATGTCCTTCTAGCTATAACATCAAATATGTCCAAAACCAACAACTTTCCACCACCTCCAAGACTATCACAAACTGCTTCCTAAATGCCTTCTTTGTTTCCCTTTTGCCCCACTATATTATCTACAGAGTACTCAGAGTCAAATTAATCATAAATCAGCTCAAGTCTTTCAAAACTCTCCCACATCTTCCCTAACCCACTCAGCATAAAAATCTAAAACTTGGAAAAATGGAGACCAAATAGGCAGACGTGCTATGCACCTCATCCCCAGGACAGGCGGAAATACAACTAAATCGGAAAACAACCAACCAGAATTAACAAACTAAGAACAGCTGAGGAGACAAGGTACAAAAAGGAAGGGCAGAAAACACCTAGAGACCACTAGGAACAACAGGACGTGGGTCTGAGAGGGCTGGCAGGCCGAGAGGTAGAGGAAGAAGCTGCATTACCAGAGTGCCAGCTCCCTCAGAAGAATAGAAACCATGCCCAGGCTAAGCACCAAAGCTGCATCCCTTGGCAACAAGTTTAACATCCAAATGTGTAAAGAAGAAACAGGCTGCTACAGGGGGAAAGCAGCAGGATGCTGTGAGGAGAGAAAGCTAGGATTTCCTTCTTGTTTTTGGTATGTTTTATCTTTGTTTTTACTCTTTAATCCCAGAACACAGGACTTTTCAATTGCAAACACTCTCCCGAGGCTGGGGCGCACAGAGGCAGGCGTGGACTCCAGGGCCTGAGGGGAGGCTGAGGACAGAAGCAGGGCAGGGAGACTTGGCAAGGAGCCCTGCATCTGAATGCTCTTAAGCTTCCAAACCTCAGCAGCCATATCCTCCAGAGAAGCTAGCCCTTCCAGTAACCTCAGGTGATATAGCCTGCCACACCCTATATTCCAAGCTTTAGAGAAAGAAACAAAGGCAAAGGCCAAGCCTATGGGTCTCAATAGGAGCCCTTAGTGATTGCACTGGAAGAAGAGCCATCAGCCCTGCTACTCTGGGAACCAGACTGATAAAAACTCCAGGTTTTCAGCCAATATGATTCCTGACAAACCAAGGACAGGGTATATTTTGGGCAACTCATGAAGGAGTAGCTCTGTATCAGGAAAAAGCATCCATCTTATTCCCTGAAAGTGAAACCACTAACTGCACCTAAAACCCGGTCAGAAACAGATGCTTGAGTGATTAAAACTGACAGCTGGCAGACAGGAAAAGAGGGCAGATTGGCCCTGCCCGTTTGTAGCCAAGATCTACAGAAACTGACATAAGCAGAGGACTTGTGGATGGCTTGGATTCAGCAGGATGCTAAAAGCCAAAAGGTAGTGCCTGGCAGTGGCCAGCATTTAAGTACCTAACAGGAAGCCCAGAATTAGCAGACAGACAGAAGAGCGGGGTCCTAAACCAGCTCCCATGGGTTTATTTAAGGTTATTTACATAAATAACTTAGTCATTTTACTACTGTTGTTGCATAATACAGCGTAAGCTATGTGTTAGCTGCTTTCAGCTCTTAAGTATGTATCATTCTCTTACTAGAAAGCCTATACCTTACAACTGAAATTAATTTCTTGCTTTTGAGTCATGGCAAGTGATGAATTTATATCTAAAATTTTTGAGAACCCAAATCTTATCTCTGATCAGCTTCATGGTTAGTTTTATTTAAAAATCTACCAATAAGACAGGAAATCAATCTCTTAGCTGTGAAGTTTTGGATGGTTAATCACTGTCATTAGAATGTAGATAACATCATTGCCATAGTCTTTTAGTGATTTGCAAACTAGTGATTCTTGCACCTCTCTAGGATCTATTAGTTATAATAATTATCTTTGATTTTAACAATGAACATTCTGTTTCTCATACTGTCATACTGAGTAAAAATTATTTTAAAATCATTTTTAATGAATATGGAAACTATCAAAATTGTTTGAAAAGACAGTGTTTTAACCTAACAACATATATAATATAGACTTAAGGTAACATCCTATATAATAAGGAGCTATTATGCAAATGGTCTACATGCCACACCCTGTAACAGCTCAGACACTCAACACTGGGAAGAAATGAGGACCAGCCAAGCACAAATGAGCTCACCAGAGAGAAATGGGGACCAGCCAGGCACAAATGAGCTTGTGAGAGAGCCAGGCTGAGGCCCCGAAGAGGGACAAGCCGACAACCTGCCCAACCCATGATCCTGGGTGCCAGAGGCTGAGCCTGCACCTGTGGCTGGGAGAGAGGGAGAGAAACAAGCTGCCTGCCCTGTGGTTCCAGACACCAATGCCTGCACCTGCGGCCTGGAAGAGGGACCAGCTGCTTGTGCCATGGTCCCAGGCACCAGTGGCTGCAGCCCAGGAAAGGGACAAGCTGCCCACACCATGGTCCCGGGCGCCTGCGGCTGCAGCTCAGACAAAGCCACCCACCCACAGTTCCTTGAGGGTGCAGCCAGACTGGGCGAAGCCAGCCCAGATCCTGGGTACCTGCAACTGGCTGAAGGAGAGAATCAAGGAGAGAATCCTGGGTCCCAGGTACGGGAGAGGCAGAGATGGTTAGGGACAATCAGGCAGGCAGGCAGGAGAATGGTTAGGACCCAGCAGGCCTAGATTGTAAGAGGCAGTTGGACATCCCACAGGGGTTCCCAGATTGGAGAGGGTGCAGACTGGTCTGAGGGACCCGGCCCCTGTGCATGAATTTCTTGCACTGGACCTCTAGTTTACAAATAATGTTCAGATATAGGTGTATACCATCAACACACACACACACACACACACTTATATATATGTGTTGCATATATATATATATATATATATATATATATATATATATATATATGCAAAGCTAAAATGAATGCAAACTTTGGAATCAAAGATTATATTTTAAACTAGAGGCCCCATGCACAAATTTGTGCACCGGTAGCGTCTCTTAAGATCAGGCTGAAACCAGCTCTCCAATATCCCCCAATGGGTCCCAGATTGCAACAGGGTGTAGGCCAGGCCAAGGGATCCCACCAGTGCACAATCCAGACTGGGAAGGGATGTGGGAGGTTGGCCAGGCCAACCATAGGAGGGCTTCAGGGAGTGTCCGGATCATCTTGCTCAGTCCTGATGGGCTGGACCCCAGCAGCAAGCTAACATATCAGTCAGAGCATTTGCCCCCTGGTGGTCAGTGCAAACCACAGTGACTCGTCAACCGGTTGACTGTCTGCTCCTTGATGGTCAGTGCATATCATAGCAAGCAGTTAAGTGACCAGTCAGCTGTTCACCATAGCAATTGGTGAACAGCTGACTGGTCAACTGGACACTTAGCATATTATGCTTTTATTATATAGGATAAAACAAATGGTCCCTAACCAGATAAAAGTAGGTTTTACTTAGAGACACTAAAGCAAGTTTTATGTAGAGATGTTAAAGTAACATTATTTAGAGAAGATAAAGCTATGGTTTTGTTTTGTGACTAACAGAAAACTAAATGGTAAAAAAGAATTTATGTTATTTACATCCAGAATAGAATATTTTAACTTATGCCTTATTCTGAGTATAATATATTGTGCTTTGGGTGCTATAAATCTATTTTACTAGTGCATTTACAATGTTATCTATGTATGTAAGCATGTATATAATTTTGTTTGTAGAATAAAAGCAAATGGAAACAATAGACCTAAAAAAATAACATAGATAATTATGCATATGTTCATTCATTCATGTGGATGAATGCAAACAATGAAAATTAAAAAAAAAAAAAATCTTACACTGTTCTAACTGAAATGAGGTATCACAGGATTTAACAAGCACATTTAACCATTCCACTTACCTGATTGTATGGTGGTAAAATTTTAGGAGGTTAGAAATTTTATATAATAAAACCGCTCCAGGTTCAGCGACTATTACTTGTTCAATTCGAACCTATTAAAACATGTGAGAAAAATATTAAACATTTTTTAAAAGCTTAACTTTTCTTCACTAATCATGTTTACAAAAGCATTATAATAATAAAACTTAGTGGCAGAAATCACAAAGTTCCTCCTAAATAAAGGATTTCTGAATATTAAATCATAGGGGATAGAAAAATAACAAAAAATAACAGATATACTCTACAAAAAAATAACCGCTAGCTCTAACCAATTTGGCTCAGTGGATAGAGTGTCAGCCTGTGGACTGAAAGGTCCCAGGTTCAATTCCAGTACCTTAATTGCAGGCACATCCCCTGTAGAAGGTGTGCAGGAGGCAGCTGATTGATGTTTCTTTCTATCCCTCTCCCTTCCTCTTCATTAAAAATCAATAAAATATATTTTTAAAAATTAATAGCTGAAAACAATAATTAGATGAAGAAGTTAAGAAGGTAGCAAAAATGCTATTTATATAAAAAAATAATAACTGATGTATAAAATTTGTCTCAAAGCAGTTACTACCAGAAATCATCAACAGAATAATGAGCCCAGCCAATGTAGCTCAGTAGTTAAGCATTAGTCTAAACCACTGAGGTCAGGGTTTGATTATCGGTAAGAATAAATCATGAAACTTCTGGATTTCAATGTCTATAAAGTAAATTGAAGTCAGTCTACAAGGAAAAATAAACCAACAATTGCAAATTACTCTTTAATAAAGAAAAACAACATCTGTTTCAGGCCTTGTAGAAGCCAAGAACTATATACTTCATCTACAGTTTTCTCAGTTCAAGCCTATACCCCTTGATAGTAGATATTTTTATATACAGGTTCAACATGATAAAATCAAGGTGCAGAAGAGTTAGACAATTTGAGTAATTGAGCACAACTAAGTTGCAAAGTGGGCATTCTAATTTTGACTTCAAATTCTGTTTCTTGTACTATAAATAGTATTGTTAATAACACTTTTTTATCCTTGGATTTATCATTTATTGCTATCAGAAAAGTTTACTATACTTGAAGCATTAAAATAAATGGAATATGTTGTTAGTAAGTCTGTAAAGTACTCAGAAATTAGTTACTTCAATTCAAGTGATTGACAAATTACTATTAGAAACATAATAGGTAAAAATAAATAAAAAAATGAAAATTAAGGATGTCTCAAATTTTCTTAGACAGAAAATTGACAATAATTATTTTTAAATATATCTCATTATCTACATTACTGTGTCAATTTGACAAAATTACAGCTTTAATTCAGGCTAAACTCATAAGAATAAGAATATAATTTAACTAGATACCATATGACATACATAAAAACAAAATATTTTACCTTTAGAGGCCTGCATACCCCCTCAGTGATATGCCCAACAACTTCTTGAATATTTTCTTCAACACCTACAATTAATTATAACATAATTCAAAAATGTTTCCATATTATACTTCACTTTCAAAAAACTAAAAAAATACTACATATGACTAATGAGTAAAAAACATTTGAAATAAAAATCATTTTATTAAGTTCAATATCCCTTAGGCCATTATTAATTATGTTAACATGTGAGTTTAGAGCCTTGTCAATTCATTGGACTAACAAATTGATTAATTTAGTGATTGATAAAGTGAATAAAATTATTTTGTGAAAAAGTAAATGAGAGTGTAAAATATATTAATTGAAGGAAATACTGTGAAGATTTATTAGCATTTGTTCTCCAACCACCTTATTCTAGGCAATGAGAAAATGGAAACCATACCTTGCAATCTAATGGAAAAGCTAACATTTACTAAGTACCATTTATCAAGCTCTGTCCTAGGTACTTGACATTTACTGCTTATAACCACCTTCATTTTTACAGATGGTAAAACTGAGGCTTAGAAGAATTAAGCCATTCCCATAAAATAACCTACTTCATCTGACTCCAATCTATTTTCTTCCCAGGTCTTAACATTGTCTCTCATATTAAGTTTTCTGAAACATTTGTAAGAAATATATTCTCTTAAACCGGGTACTTTGGATAACAGAAACCAACTTTAAAAAGTTCAGACTTTGTGTCAATCTAACAAATATGCTGGTCTAATCATAATCAGAGTTAAAAATGAGGTTAAGTCTTGTCACCAATTTGTACACTGGCCTCTTGTGCAGATCATGTGCTGAACCAAAATAATGAGGGGCCAAGCTATGCAAAACAGAAGTGATTCCAGTGATAATAATTATCTTCATTGCATATCAATAATAAAATAGCTTAATTATCCATTAGCCCCCACTATGACATTCAACTTCAGGTAGTCAAAACAAAGATCTGAACTTCTGTGAACAAAAGACTTTCGCAATTCAAAAATAGTAATTTTTCTTCCTTGAAATTGAAACCAAAACTTTAAGTACATTTAGTATATAGTTAATTATGCAAAAATCTTTAAAACCACACAAGAATGAAAAGAGTTGGTTAGTAGGAGTCAAAGATTTAGCAGCTTAATGACCATAAGCAAGGCACTTAGCTTACTCACACCTAAACTGCCTTTAAAGTGAAGTGACATGGAAGATCTGAGTTAATGTATGCTAAAGCAATGCCTTAAAAGAAAAGCAGAGAACTCGGGCTCAGTATGGAAGGTTCCACTATAAAGGTGTGAACAGTTGTGTGACAGGATAAAGGGGATAGAGAAGAAAGTTTATTAGCAGAAAAAGAAAAACAGGAAGAGGAAACTTAATTAGGATGTTTATTGTACCTTGTAGGTGAGAAAAGTTTATCCCCTTGAGGAAGTCATCAGTAAGTATAAAAACAGAGAAGTCTTGTGTTATTTATATATTTAGACATTAGCAATATCAATTAGAGGGCCTACCTTGTGTAGTTACATGCTTTAAGAGAGCTTCAAGGTGTTCTTTTTCAGAAGCAGTAGCTTGATGGAGCCAAGCCAACATATCTCCTACATATCTATGAACACAAATAACTAAATGTTAGTAAAGATTCCCTTTATAAAACCATCAAATAGCCAATATTGTCTGATTACCATACCTTAAAGGGTCATGGGAGTGCATTTCAATGGGTCTAGGTGTACCTCCTGGGCCCCCTCTAGTAAGAGCATCAATAAATCCACGGACAACTGTACTTCTTCTAGCTGTTCCAAATTCATCTAAGGTATACCTAGAAGTAAGTAATATAAAAAATAGTTGTTTTCTTCCTACTGGTTATATCAAACTATTCATGCAATTCCTAAGATAAGCAAGACATCTATAAAGCTTCTTTACATAACTCTCTTAAGCAATATTGTTTTTAAACAAGGGAAATATAGGAAATACATTATCACAATAAAAATTCAATCTAAAAGTACACATTTTCACTACCCTTAAGAAAGAATGCTGGAATGTGGGATTAATCACAGGGGCAGTGGCAATAAAATAAAATAAAATAAAATAAAATAAAATAAAATAAAATAAATAAATGAGCCCCAGCTGGTGTGGTTCATTGTCCTGTGCACTGAAGGGTTGCCACTTAGATTCTTGGTCAGGGGACATGCCTGGGTTGCAGTTTCAATCTTGGGGGGGGGGGGGGGGGGGGGGGAAGGGGGGCATGCAGGAGGCACAAAATTGATGTTTCACTCTGACATTAATGTTTCTTTCTCCCTCTACATCTCTCTCTAAAAATCAATAAAAATATTTTTAAAAAGAAAAAAAAGTAGTGAATTAGGTTAAAATCAAGATTAAGGTGGAAATCTTGGACTATTCACATTTCATTATCCTCCTAGTCCAAACATGTTGCTCCACTGTTCACATTAGGCCATATTATCTAATTCTCAGGGCCAATTACAACCTCCCAACCCAAACTACTTTTCCTTCTACATTAAAAACTCTCCTTTATACATATTATCACAACTCACCACCAAATTTGTCCAAAACATACTATCCACACTGAAAAGCTTATTTTGACTCCACTAATAAAAATGTTTTTTTAAATTTACAGATCCCCTTAGCATACACAGCAAATAACTTTCTTTTACGTGTTTACATGTCATCAATTCTAGCTGAAAGAAGGGGGAAGTCTTTCTAAGGTGAATTTTTAGAGAAGGAAAATTTTGAAATGGAAGATCAAACAATTTGGGATGAAATTGGAGGATGGCTTGCAGTTGCCACAAGTACCCACTTCTTTATTAAAATCTCTCTGTTTCCCATTATCACTATTTTTCCTTACCCCCACCACCCAAATGAAAGTTCTTTCTTTTTTAAAAGTACACAGAAGAGCCGAAACCGGTTTGGCTCAGTGGATGGAGCATCGACCTGTGGACTGAAAGGTCCCGGGTTCGATTCCGGTCAAGGGCATGTACCTTGGTTGCGGGCACATCCCTAGTAGGGGGTGTACAAGAGGCAACTGATCGATGTTTCTCTCTCATTGATGTTTCTAGCTCACTATCTCTCTCCTTCCTCTCTGTAAAAAATCAATAAAATATATTTAAAAAGAAAAAAAGAAAATCAATACTGTACTTATTACATTCTTTATATTTATTTTCTGAAGGTTTATCAAAGAAAGAAGACATCTTTTTTTTTTTCATTTCCACATATAATAAATTTCATTTTGAAGAAATTTCAAAAGTTACAAATGAATTAGCATTCCAGTTATATATTACTAACAAAAACTGAATATGGCAACTTTCCCTAAGTACTTCAATAACTGACATTTTTCTTATACATGATACCTACACATTGGAGTCACAATAATGAAAAGTAAAGCTAATATACATTACTTAAATAAAGTTCATATAATGCCATCTGGTGGTTAACATGATACATTAAGTTTGTGCTAAATTTAAAGAATCCACCACTTTGAAGATACATTATTACTTAATGAAAGGCCAATTTTCTTTTTCAGCACTCATCTTATGGTAATCAACTCGTCTTAAAATCCTACCTTCTCACTCATCTTCCTCACCACCCCCCCCCCCTCCTCAGCATGTCCCCCTCAGAGAAAAATCACCTTTCCTCTTGATTACAGTTCTACTAGAGGCCTGGTACATGAAAATTCATGCACTGGAGGCGGGGGCCCCACTGCCCGGTCTGCCCCCTCTCACAGTCCGGGAGCCCTCAGGAGCAGGCGGTGACCTAGTGAAGGCAATGCCCCATCACACCTCTGCCGCTGCAACTTACAGCAGCTCAAGCCTCAGCCGGCCCTGAGCCTAGGGCGGCCCAGGGTGGCTGGGCACCTGCTATCCCAGGCTTGCCTGTGCCTTGAGCCGGCCCTGGGAGGCAGGAGGGCTGAGGGGACTGGGGGACTCCAGAGGCAGGCGCACCTTGCAGTGCACCTGCCACTCTGGCGGGGCTGAGGAGACTAGGCACTGCCATCTTGTGGCTGTGAGTGCCACCATCTTTGAGGGCATGACAGTCAATTAGCATAATTCCCACTTTATTAGATACTAGTGGCCTGGTGCACAAAATTCATGGAACAGGGGGGAGGGTGTGCCTTAGCCCAGCCCGCACCCTCTCCAATATGGGACCACCTCAAAGGATGATCTACTGTCAGTCAGTTTACAGGGATCGGGTCTAAACCAGCAGTCGGACATCTCATAATCTGGGTCTGCTAGCTCCTAACCGCTCACCTGCCTGCATGCCTGCCTGATTGCCCCTAACCACTCTGCTTGCCGGCCTAATTGCACCCCAATTGCACAGCAGGCCAGATCACCCCCAAATGTCCCCATTGACAGCCTAATCACCCCCATCTTCCCCCCATGCCAGTGTGCTCACCCCCAAATGCCTCCTCTGCTGGACTGCTTGCCCCCAACCGAGCCCCCCTGCTGGCCTGCTCTTCCATACCTTCCCTCCCCACTGGCCTGTTTGTCCCCAACTGCCCCCCTGCTGGCCTGCTCACTCCAAACTGCCTCCCCCTACTGTCCTAATCTCTTCCAACTGATCCTCACTAACAGCCTGCTCACCCCCAGTGGCCCCTCTGCTGGTCTGCTTACCCTCAATAACCCCGCCCCCCCAGCCTGATCACCCACAACTGCCCTCCGCTCTTGGCCTCTAACCACCTCTACCTTGGCCCTGCCACCATGGCTTTGTCCAGAAGAATGTCTGGAAGGTCTTCCAGTCTAATTAGCATATTACCCTTTTATTAGTATAGATAGAGGCCTGGAGTACGGGCGGGGACCAGCTGGTTTACCCTGAAGGGTGACCAGGATCAGGTGGGTGCCTGGCCAGCCTGGGTGAGGGGCTGAGAGCTGTTAACAGGCTGGCCACAGACCCTTCAGGATGTGGAGGTCCTGCTGGGGTGCCTGGCTAGCCTGGGTAAGGGGCCAATGACCATCTTCAAGCTGGCCATGCCCCCTCTCCCCCAAGCTTCCAGCCCCTCCTTTTTTTTTTTTTTTTTTTTTTTAGTGCCTCCTTGAGCAGGGCCAGGGCCGCTGGAAGCAGGTATCTGGGATTTATTTATCTTCTATAATTGAAACTTTGTAGCCTTGAGCAGAGGACAGGGCCCGCCAAGGTGGGTGAGCAATACAAGCCTCCTGATAACTCCAGCTCCATGTCCACTGTCATCTTTATTGGGTTAATTTGAATACTTGCTCCTGATTGGCTGGTGGGTTTCGTAGAGTTATTAGTGTACATGATTCTTTGTCCTTCAAGCTTTTGCCTGGCTGTCATGGAGACCCTAAATACATTCCTGTTTGGTTGACAACTTTGTAGTTTATCTCTTTTCAAAATAAAAATAATAGCTAATATTTAGTGATGAGTATAAGGTGTATTATACTAAACACCTTATGTAAAAAAAATAATTTAATCTTCCCAAGAAACTAAAAAATAGGTACTAATATTATCTTCATTTACAGCTAAGGAAACTGAAGCTTATAAAGGTGCAGTCTTCTAAAAAAATGTAACTCAGAACACACAACACCTTCTAAGCCATTATATAGTATTGCTCCTTTCCAAATGTTGATAAAAAAGCAAAATTTAGTGAAAATATATTTATAGAAGTCAGTTGACCTTTTCAAATGTCTGAAATACAATGGCATTTTTGTTTAAAGAAATGTTAACTTGTGAACAAACATGAATCTATAGATAATGAAACACTTATTAAAATCAAACATCAAATGTCAGATACTAAATGATTCATAACCAAACATGAATAACTTAAAGTGAAGATTATAGGAAATAAGTTTCAAAGTAAATATAATCTGAAGAGATGGTGACCCACACTGAACATTAGCTGATCACATGTACATGCACAAGATTTATGGCTTTATGATCCAGCTTTTACTATTAACCCCATGACCAGTGCAAGCTGTTGCAATTATTACTCAAAGTTGAATGTTCTTCCTTAATCTGCATCTTGGCAGCTGCTTTTCTCTCAACCTAGGATGTTCTTTGCTCCCATTATTCCTAGAAAATGCCTATTAAACCTTCAGAACTCACTTTACCTAGTTTCCAAAGGAAACTTTCCCTACTGTTTATCCCTATACCTATCACAGAATACTTGAGACATGACCCCTAGAACAGCAACTAGTCTACACTTATAAAAGAGAAAGATTCAAATTGACCATACCTTCGAGATGGCCACCAGTTAATCAGGAGTATGCAAATTAACCCAACAAAAATGGCGGGTTGATTTACATATGAAGGCTCTGAGCGACCAGGGGTGGGGTGGGACGCTTACATCATCGCCATGGTGACGATGCAGGTGTTCCGCACTGCTCCAGCAGCTCTGGGCTTCTGGGCAACATGGGAAGGCAGAAAGGCAGCTACATCCAGAGTGAAGGCAGTGCTGCAGCCAGGGGAAGGCAGGGCTATTCTTGCACGAATCTTCGTGCATCGGGCCTCTAGTATATTCATAAAATGGATGTGTTTATATCTGGTTTCATAAACTGAAGCAATTTGAGAGCAGTGTTTTATTGATGTTGTGTCTCTCTTATAATTCTGCTTTACACAAGAGTAGAATGACATTTTTACACAATTGTCCCAGCATTTGTGTTCTAGAACTTTATTACAAGCTAAGTAATGGTCCAATCAGAAAGCAGATTAATGGGAAATCTTATAAAATATTACTAGCATTTGAAAGGCATGACTCAGAGTAAGATTCAATGTCTGGGTACAATTCCACTTCCTTTCTGTCTCCTGAATTATAACTCCTTACTTTGTCTCCCTTTTTTCATATTATTCCAGTCATCTATATATATAAAAGCCCAGCAACTGTTTTGGCAGAATGACTGGAACAACCAGAACGACCAGTCACTATGATGCACACTGACCACCAAGGGGCAGAGGCTCAATGCAGGTGCTTCCCCCTGGTGGTCGGTGCGCTCCCACAGTGGGAATACTGTTCAGCCAGTAGCCGGGCTCATGGCTGGCGAGTGCAGCGGCGGTGGCAGGAGCCACCCCAGCAGTGCTAAGGAGTGGCGAGCCAAGCAGTAACGAGTGAGCAGGCAGGCGATAAGGAGCGAAGGGTCCTGGATTACGAGAGGAATGTCAGACATCGCCCCAGGGGTCCCGGATTGCCAGAGGGTGCAGGCTGGGTTGAGGAACAGCCTTCCCCTGTCACAAATTTTGTGCATCAGTCCCCTACTTAAAAAGTATTTCCTTTTATTTTATACTAGAGAAACAGTGCATGAAATTCTTGCACTGTGGGGAGGGCCCCCTCAGCCCGGCCTGTGCCCTCTCACAGTCTGGGAACCTCCATGGGATGTCTGCATGCTGGCCCTGGCCAAATGGGGCCTCTCGTAGTCAAGGACCCCTTGCTCCTTACTGCCTGCCTGGAGCGGAGGTGGGAGAGGCTCCCACCACTGCTGCTGTACTCACCAGCTGAGACCCTGGCTTCTGGCAGAGCAGTGCACCCCATGTGGGAGCACACTACCAAGGAGAAGCTCTGGTGTTGAGCGTCTGCCCCTTGGTGGTCAGTGCATGTCATAGCGACCAGTCATTATGCTGGTCATCTAGCCGTTGGGTCAATTTGCGTATTAGGATCTTATTATATAGGATGAGAAATAAAATAAAATTAAAATGAAGAACAAAAAATATGTAAACAAGTTAATGCATAAATTCTCCTTATACATTATCATTTATCTCTTGGGTGGCATAAATTACAGAATCAAAGATCTAAACCCTTTTTTCACTTCTCAGTCTTCTATTTGACCTGACCTCCCTCTCTCTAAGATAGTGTTGCTACAAGAATCTTAGTCACAATTCCAAGGTAGTTAATAAGATGACAGAATGGGGAAAAGCCTCTTAGCCTCTACATAAATATGAGGTAATCCATGTAGGAACATCTGGATTTTCCCCTCCATATTGCATTCTTTAGCATATAATATACAAATGAACTGATGCTAGCATTGATATAGACATAATGAGATTAAAATGTTATTATAAGTATTAAACTATTGTGTTTAATATTACCAAAAGCTACAGTGTATTATAAAAACAAAAGTAGGAAAAAATCACCTACTTATATAAGACAGGTCTATCCTGCAGGGCTTCCATTGCCTGAGTTAATACTGGAGATATGTCACATGATTCTTGTGTCAATGTTCTGCATTCACCTGAAAAGTAATTAAGATATATACAAATAATTTATATACGATATAAAAAATTTTATATAAGATACATATAAATAATTATATCTGTTGTACAATCACCGTCTAAATTCTATAGCAAATATTGCATTTTTAAAGTGCTTGGAAAAACCTAGAAAATATGTCTATCAAAAACTGATTTTTGCTGTCAACCAAACTAAAAATTTAAGCTTAAGTATTTATATAACTTTAAATGACCACATATGCTATGTGGTATACCCCAAACTTATATTTTATTATTATTTTAAGAATTACATTTCTATAAAATCAATCAATGAAAACTTATTCACTGAATAACTGCTTTATACACAGTAATGTTCAAGGCAAGAGGGGAAGAGTATGAAAAATACTCAAACACAGACACACACATACACACAATATATAATAGAGTCCTTGTGCATGAAATTTGTGCACGGTGGGGAGGTGTCCTTCAGCCCAGCCTGCACCTTCTCCAATCTGGGACCCCTCAAGGAACGTCCAACTGCCAATGGAATCAGGCCTAAACTGACAGTCGGACATCCCTCTCATAATTTGGGACTGCTGGCTCTTAATCACTAACCTGCCTGTCTGTCTAATTGCCCCTAACTACTTCTGCCTGCCAGTATGAATACCCCTAAAGGCTCCCCTGGCAGCCTAATTGATTCCTAACTGCTCCCCTGCCAGCCTGATTTTCTTTAACTGCCCTCCCCTGCTGGCCTGATCTCTACCAACTGCCCTCCCCTGACAGCCTGGTTGCCTCCAACTGCCCTCCTCTGCAGACTAGATCACCCCCAACTGCCCTCTCCTGCAGTCCTTATCTCAACCCCACCTGCCCTCCCCCGCAGGCCTGATCTTGCCCCCAACTGCCCTCCCCTGCTGGCTTGATCTCACCCACAACTACCCTCCCCTGCTGGCCTTGTCACCCCAACTCCTCTCTCCTGATGGCCTGTGCACCCCCCAACTACCCTCCCCTGCCAGTCATCTTGTGATAACGTGAGAGCGGCCATTTTATAACAACATGGGGTTAGCCATCTTGTGATGACGTGAGGGCACAAGGGCATAAAGGCCACCTAGGATTTTATTATATACTAGAGGCCCAGTGCATGAAAACTCAAGCACTGAAGGATGGGGTCCCTCAGCCACCTGCCCCCTCTCACAGTCTGAGCCCTCAGGGGCAGGAGGCAACCTGGCCATCAGGGGAAAGCAACACCCCATCACACCTCTGCTGCTGCCATTGCCGATAGCACAACCCTCAGCCATCCCTGGTTACCTGAGCCTTAGACTAGCCCTGGGCAGTTGGGCAGCTGTCATCTGAGGCATGCCTGTGCCTCAAACCAGCCCTGGGTGACTGGAAGACTGAAGGGACTGGGGGGACTCCAGAGGCAGGCATGCGGAGCATCCAGGCCCACCTGAAGGTGGCCCCAGCCTTACTGTGTGCCTGCTGCCCCAGGGGGCTTGAGGGGACTCAGCGCCACCATCTCGTGGCTGTGGGTGCTACCTTCTTTGAGGGTTTGGCAGTCAATTAGCATACTCTCTCCTTATTGGCTGTGGGCAGCACCGCCATCTTTGAGAGTGGGGCAGTCAATTAGCATATTCCCTCCTTATTGGCTGTGGGTGCCACCATATTTGAGGGCAGGGAAGTAAATTCTCATATTCCCTCCTTATTGGCTGTGCTTGCCTCCATATTTGCAACAGTATGAAGGTCAAACTTAGCATGTTCCTTCTTTATTAGATAGGAAATATATATACATGTGTATATATGTATATATGTATATATATATGTAATTATTACAAAGTTCCTTCCCTTGGGAGTAATCTTTAAGTGATATACTTAAAATGTTTATATAGATAATATATAGTAATATCATTATCATTTTAAAAGTTTAAACTTTAACATTTTAAAAATCTCTACACCAAATTTTCTTTATTTTACTACTAGGGACCTGGTGAACGAAATTCGTGCACTGGGGTGGGGCGTTTCCTCAGCCCAGCTTGCACCCTCTCACAGTTTGGGACTCCTCGCTCCTTACTGCCCGTGGGCTCAATGATCCTCAGCTCGCTGCTACTCAGCGCTACTGTGGAAGTGGGAGAGGCTACCTCCAATGCTGCATACTCACCAGCCATAAGCCCAGCTTCTGACTGAGGGTGCTCCTGTACTGGGAGCTCACTGACAACCAGGGGGCAGCTCCTGTGTTGAACATCTGTCCCCTGTTGGTCAGTGTGCATCATAGCAACTAGTCGTTCCACCATAATGATTGCTTAGGCTTTTATTATACAGACTAGAGGCCTGGTGCACAAAAATTCATGCACGAGGGGGAGACGGGTGTCCATCAGCCCAGCTTGCACCCTCTCCAATCTGGAAACCCTCGAGGGAATTCTGACTGCCTGTTTAGGCCCGATCCCAGTAGTATAGTGCCTAACGGGCAATCAGACATCTCTCTCACAATCCAGGACTGCTGGCTCCCAACTGCTTGCATGCCTGTCTTCCTGATTGCCTCTAACTGCTTCTGCCTGCCAGCCTGATCACCACCTAATCATTCCTCTACCAGCCTAATTGATTCCTAACTGCTCCCCTGCCAGCCTGATTGCTCCTAACTGCCCTCCCCTGCCAGCCTGATTGCCCCTAACTGCCCTCTCCTTCTGGCCATCTTGTGTCCATATGGGGGCAGCCATCTTGTGTGTTGGAGTGATGGTCAATTTGCATATTACTCTTTTATTAGATAAGATAGAGATCTGGTATACAGGTTGGGGCTGGCTGGTTTTCCCTGAAGGGTGTCCTGGATCAGGGTTCCCTTGGGGAGTGGGACAGCCTAGGCGAGGGGCCTGGGGTGATTTGCAGGCTGCCCACACCCTCTGGCAACCCAAGCAGAGGCCCTGGTATCTGGGATTTATTTATCTTCTATAATTGAAACTTTGTAGCCTTTAGCAGAGGCCAAGGCAGGCCAGGAAGCTTGGCTTCCACCATCGCTGGGGACAACCCAAGCCTCCTACTCTCTCCAGCTCCGTGGCTGCAGCCATTTTTGTTGGGATTTATTTATCTTCTATCATTGAAACTTTGTAGCCTTGAGTGGAGTCCAGGGCCAGCCAGGGTGTGTGGGAAGCTTGGCTTCCTCAATTGCCAGGGAAACCCAAGCCTCCTGCTCACTCTGTGGCACAGCCATCTTGGCTGGGTTAATTTGCATACTCACTCCTGATTGGTGGTGGGCGTGGCTTATGGGTACAGCACAGGTATGGTCAATTTGCATATTACTCTTATTAGATAGGATTCTAATCTTATCATTAAATACTTATAAAGAGTCTACTATGTTTAAAGAACTTCAAACTTTGTTTCAGAAATTCAAAACCTTAAGATATGAAGACCTCACACTAGCACTGTATTTTTAGCACTCATATATATTTCATACTTATGCAGGTACAGATATAGAGACATCTGAAAGTTCCTAGGAGCCAAAGGCCCACAGTTTGGAATTACTATGTTAAATGTCATGAGAGCACAAAGGAATTTGAGGCCTTTGAAAAAGAAATCTAAACTAGAGAGCTAAAATATACATACACAAAAAGTAATAATAAAGTAGTAAATTACTGAATGCCAAATAAATATTTTCCAACGGTGTTCAGAGATGAGGAAAAGTCACTGTGAATAAATGTAGCCATGGAGAATTCCAGAAAGTTATAAAACCTAAACCTAGCTTTGAATATTCAGGTAGGACTTGTATATAAAGAAAGAGACAACACTCAAAATAGGAGTAAACGGTGCAAAAAAGGAGAGGCAGAAAAAGAAACACATTTTGGAGTAAATCATCTGAACCAGATAAATCATCTGAACCAGGTTTTCACAGTACAGTAACCAGTTAAGGAGATTTAATCCCAATTGCTTCAATAGTCAGTTGGTAACACCTATTAAAATCTCTGTTCTCCTATTCCATTCTTGCTCTTAACCATCTTCTTTGATTTTAATAGGAAATTTTGAGAACTTATTGAGACATTTTTAAACAAAACTAATGCAAATAAACCTCTTGTGGTAGGCAAAATAATGGTCCTCCAAAGATTCCTAATTCCTGGAACTTGTGATAGTTTACTTCACATAGCAAAGACACTTTGCAGATGCAATTAAGAGCAATTTCCCCAGATTTCCTTAGTGGGTCCAAAGAAAATAAGTTCAAATGTAAAGTTTGTTCTTTTTAAAAGTACTTTTTGATAACTAAAATAAAAATACATGAAATAATGATCAAGAGAGATAAAAAATATTCTAACACTAACATTCACAAATCCAGACCACATGAAAGAAGTCACTTACTTTGAGCCCATCGATAAAGTCTTTCATAAGCTGTTTCTTGAAGCAAGGCCATCTGTTCCATAATTTCTAAACTAAAAAAAAATAAAGATTAAAAAAATGCATTATAATTTAAACTTTTATCCAACAGCTACATCTAGGCACCTAAATATTGTTTAATTACAAAATTATTTGATTACATCACGTTAGTCTTTTATCATTTTATGGAATGATTTTTCAATTTTTTAAAAATTAAACAAATGTCAAATTTTATTACCATCACTTTGTTACCCAATTGCTGTTTTATTCTAAGGACATCAGGATATAACTCCCTCCTTATCCAAGGACACATAAAGATTAAACTTTTTCAAAAAGAACCTACAATTTTTTTAATTTTGGAAATATAAGAATCAATGCAATTATGAACTGAAATGGTTACTCACCCTGCTGTTTGTTGGTTTGTACGCAAGAGGACTTTGACATCATTATGAATCTGTTTTACTCTTCCCAATCCCTTGAAAAAAGCCTTTAAAATTAAGAATGCAACCTTAAAATGTCCATGTTTTCAGGTAAAATTATATTACTCTAAAATGAAATATCGCTACATAAGAAAAACAAATACTTTCTCCTACTCTGATCCTTTCTATACTGATCTCAATCTTCTCTAAATGTTTATGTAAAGTGTAAGAGATTTATTCAAATTTCAAAACATATTAATTCAATGTCTACTATATGCCAATTGTCTGCTGCCATCAATGAAAATTTTATAAAGACAAAAGTCTATGTTCCCAGGAAATAAAGAGTCTAGTGAAGAGAAATGCAAAACTAAAGATTATTACATAAAGAAAAATGTGCTATTAGTGAACATCTTATAACTTAGTTAAATCATGGCTTTCTTGTCATTAGGATGGTGTTTTATATATATTTTATATACCCACTAGAGGCTCAGTGCACGAATTCGTGCACCAGTGGGGTCCCTTGGTCTGGCCTGCATCCCCTAGGAGGATGTTGGATAGTCAGTTTTGAACTGATTCCCACAGACCCAATCCAGATAGGAGGGAGTCTGATCCTGTGCATTGAGCTGGTCAAGTGGTTACTTGGTTGTTCGATTGCTTAGGTTTTTATATATACACTAGAGGCCCAGTGCACAAAACTCATGCATGAAGGAGGGGGGGGGTGGGTTCCCTCAGCCCAGTCTACACCCACTCCATTTGGGGACACCTCAGAGGACATATGACTGCTGGTCAGACAACCCTCTCACAATCTGGGACCACTGGCTCCTAACCACTCACCTGCCTGCCTGATTGCTCCTAACCCCTCTGCCTCCCTGACTCATTGCCCCTAACCTCTCTGCCTGCCTGCCTAATCGCCCCTAACTATTGCTACCTGCCCGCCAGCCTGATCTCCCCCCAACTGCTCTCCCCTGCCTGCCTAATTACCCCTAACTTCGCTGCCTTGCTGGCCTGATCTCGCCCCCAACTGCCAGCCTGGTTGCCCCCAATGGCCCTCCCCTGCCGACCTTATCTGGCCCCTAACTACTCTCCCCTGCCAGCCTGATTGCCCATAACTGCCTCTGCCTTCCTGATCGCCCTTAACTACCCTCCCCTGCCGCTCTGATCTCAGCCCCAAATGCCCTCCTCTGCCAGCCAATTTGGTTCTGATTGGTCAGTTTCTATGCCAGTCAGCATCAAAAGCTCTGCCTCCTAGGTAGCCATTGGCTCCTCACAGTTGACCCAGATTTGGTTCTGATTGGTCAGTTTCTATGACAGTCTGCGTAAAGAGTTCCACCTCCTAGGCAGCCATTGGTTCCTTACATTCACCCAGATTTGGTTCTGATTGGTCAGTTTCTATGTCAGTCAATGGGGACTGATCAGAAAGACAGGGCTGATCAGCAGCCTCCGTGGAGGCCTGAAAGAAATGGAGACACAGCTGTTGGCCAAGTCAGGAGAGAAAGAGAGGCAAGTTCTAATTAACAGCTGCCACAGAGGCTACGGATCAGACCTTGCCTCTCTCTCTGCAGGCCTCTCTCCAGGCCTGATCTGCAGCCCCCTACACAGTGCTGAGTCGGTGCCAGCAGTGGCCCATCAGTGCTGGTCCAACACAGCAACCCAGCACTGACTTCCAGTCTGATTGAGCCTTCGGTTATAAAGGTTGTTACAATGGTGGCTCTTTATTATATAGCCTAGTGGTCTGACGCACAAAATTCATACACGGTTAAGGTCCATAGACCCTGCCTAAGATCAGGGCTATCTTTCCCAGATGCCTACAGTTGGCTCCACCACCCACCCCGGGTTCCCCGTTCATCACTGTGTGATCAGTGGCTGACAGCCACAGGAACAGCTGTTCCTGCCCACATGCTGGCTCCTCCTCTGTAGCAAGTGGCCATCAGGCGATCAGAGCTTGCTGGCTGAGGAAACAGACCAAGAGGTGTTCATTGCACCTCATAGTGTCTGGTCCAGCAGTCGTTCTGGTCATTCTGCCATTAGGATCAATTTGCATATGACCCTTTTATTATATAGAAGAGAGGCCTGGTGCACAGGTGAGAGCTGGCTGGCCTGCCCTGAAGGCAGCCCCAGATAGGGGTGGAGGGTCTTTGCTTGGGGGTAGGGTTTTCAGGCTGACCCCACCCCCAATCAGGGTGGGGGTCCCCACTGGGACGGGCAAGAGTCTTCCGGCAGTTTGCAGGCTTGTCACGCCCTGACAGGGTGGTGGTTCCTGATGGGGGGTGGGCCCAGCCTGGGTGAGGGGCTGCAGCCAATTTGCAGGCTGGCCACACCTCTATAAGGGTGGGGGTTCTTGCTGTGTGGGGCCAGCCTGGGAGAGGGGCTAAGGGTGGTTTGCAGGCTGGTCACACCCCCATCGGGGTGGGGGTTGCTGCTGGAGGGCAGGGACGGCCTAGGCGAGGAGCCTGGTGCAGTTTGCATGCCAACCATGCCCCCAGCTTTGTCAAGAAGGATAGGATATCGGGAAGACGACCCTGTCTAATTAGCATATTACCCTTTTATTAGTATAGATACCATATTTTCCGGTGTGTGAGATGACCCCCTAATTTTACAGTTAAAACATAAGTTTAGGCCTATATTCGCTGTATAAGACTACCCCCCACTTCCGAGGCAACAAATGTTCTTTTTTTAATAGACCGCCTCTCTGACTCTGGCCAATCTGAGTCGTCTTATACACCAGAAAATACGGTAGATTCTTGTCCCCACATCTAAGAGTAGACTGCAAAGTTAGATATATAAAAGATGCTCAATAAATATTAAGAGTTGACAGATACTGAACTCCAAGATATTTTTAATTTAGAAAAACATATTGGAACCTTAGTTTACAAAAACCAAACAATGTTCTAAACATGAAAATAATGAATGTGTTACTTTTTTTTGATGAATTCAATTTAAATAAAAAATATCCCCTCTAGCCAAAACCGGTGTGGCTCAGTGGATGGAACATCGGCCTGCAGACTGAAGGGTCCTGGGTTCAACTCAAGGGCATGTACCTTGGTTGCGGGCACATCCCCAGCTAACTGATGTTTCTCTCTCATTGATGTTTCTAACTCTCTATCCCTCTCTTTTCCTCTATGTAAAAAATCAATAAAATATATTAAAAATATACCCTCTAATAGTTTATTTCTCCCAAGTAGCGAAAAACATGAGATGTCAAATATTTAAAATGTGCAATGTTCCTCAAACCTCAAGGACTGATAAGTAGTGTCCCTACCCACAGGTAACTTCTTACATTCCAACCTGGACTGTAATATGAGGAGGAGGAGGAGGAGGTGGAGGAGGGAGAGGAGGTGGAGGAGGTGGTGAAGGAGGTGGTGGTGGAGTAGGAGGAGGAGGAGTAGGGAGGGAAGGAGGGAGGGAAGGAGGGAGGAAGGAAGGGAGGGAGGGAGGGAGGTAGGGAGGGAGGAAGAAAGAAGAGAGGAAAGAGGAGAGGAAAGAGGAGAGGAAAGAGGAGAGGAAAGAGGAGAGGAAAGAGGAGAGGAAAGAGGAGAGGAAAGGAAAGAGGAAAGGAAAGAGGAAAGGAAAGAGGAAAGGAAAGAGGAAAGGAAAGGAAAGGAAAGGAAAGGAAAGGAAAGGACAGGAAAGGAAAGGAAAGGAAGGAAGGAAAGGAAAAGGAAAGGAAAGGAAAGAAGAAAGAAAGGAAGAGAAAGAAAAGAAAAGAAAGAAAAGAAAGAAAGCATTTCCCTGTTGTTTAGCATTTTGAGAGGTTTTATAGTTTTATGTCAGTTTGAAAAGAATGGCATAGGTTAAAAAGTTAATTAGATAAAAATAAGGAATTTTCAAATCTAAAAAAGGCAAAGTTAAAGAACATGTAATCATTGTAATGTTATTAAAATGGAAACAGAAAATGCCATGATACTGTACTGTGAGGTTCCAAGGAAAGAATGTGTGCGTGTATGGGGGGTTGGGGCTCAGGGGAAGAGGCTAAATCCTCATACTTCATGTTAGAAAATCAATGAAAAATAGTTAACACAGATAATTAAAACATATTTGTTAAATAAAAGAATATATAGTTTATTCTTTATAATTGATCTAATATCCTGTACACCCCCATCCCCAGAATAATAGACACTAAATTTAGTGCAAATAATTATTAGTAATCTTTAAATGAATTTGATTGGATAACTTACTGCCTTTCCATCCCTACTACATTGAAAACATATTCTTTTTAACAATAGCTCTAGAATATAGAATTTACAAAAGCAGCTATTAACAGGTTTAAAATGGTTGACAAAAGACTTAGAGATAAGGAGTGGAAGAGGTAATATAGGTTTCCTTTATAAGCCTTGTCCCTTTAAAAAGGACATGTATTGCTTGGGGGGGGAAAATAAAACAATTTAAAATACACATCTTAATTTCCAAATTTGAAAATATTTTCAAATCAAACATTTTTTAAATGGTAATATAAAGCCTTAAAATTTTCTCTATGACATCTGTAACTGTAACACTTGAAATAAATATAACAAAAGCAAGATACCTCAGTAATAGGTCCTTCTCTTGTACCTCGGAGAACACTCATTTCATCAGAAGTTAGTTGGAACTTGGATAAGAAAGCATCGGCAACTTGTGCTCTTATTTCTAATCTTTGACTGTAATAACAAAAAACAAAAACTTAATAAATATCAAATACATTGTGCATTTGCAAAGCTTTAAAACAAATTATGGTCTAACTTACTAACCTTATAAAATAAAGATGTGAAAGACTCTCAACCTCTTTGAAAGTACAATTTCTACGTCAAATATTGGAAGCTCATCATGTATGTAGGTGATAAAATTAGCTGATAACATGCTACCTCAAATACTTGCACACAGTAAAAGGAGTTAACAATTATAAAAAAGAAGGAAAAGTTCACAGATGGTCCCTACCAGTACTTAAATAATTCACATTGTAATAGTAAGGTTATCTTACAGGAGAGCAATATGCCCATGTTCAACTATTTTCTTCTCAGTATTAAAATTCCTAAGCTTTGAAGTTTTCACAACAACCAAAAATCAGGTATAGTGTTTTTTAGTTTTTTAATTTTAAGTTAGAGCTAGAACTCCAAAACCCATTTACTAATTCCTTATAAATCTATAGTCATTTCTCACTTTTGCCTTCCTGGCTTTTTCAATATATACTATGGTAATAAAAATTAAAAAAAGCCTTTTAAAATATTTTAAATTATTGCAACCTATTTAGACTAATTGAAAATTAGGAAAAGGCAAGCTCTAGTCTGGAATGCAACTTGCCAGGACCTAAAGGACTGAGCAGAGTGACCATCTAAAGGCAAATTAGGAATGCAAACCACCTGAGCAGAACCACAACATTCCTGGCTTCTGTATCTTAGCTTTGAAGATATATACGGTAAATAAAATTCTAAGTGCTTCTTTAGTAGTATTCACAGTCTAATAATACCCCCCAAAAATGAACAAAGATAGATATTACCACTATTTGTATAGACAGTCCAATGTATCTATTATCTTTGGTTTGTACTCTTGGATTGTGAGGTTTTAAATTCACAAAGTCAAATACTACTGTTGAGTAACATAAAAATCTAAAGGGAAAATTCTTGTAGGATAAAAAAATCTGGTATATTTATAGCAAATGATAACATAAATCACCTAGTTAAAGATATACTAGTAGATTTAAACGGCATGTATACTAAATCATCGTATTACTAATTATGAACATTTACCTTAACAGATTTTGTTTAATACTTTAAAAAATATTTTGTATTTCACATTAATATATTAACTGGATTTTTGGTCAAATAACTAGGGAATTCTCTTTAACCATCTCCTCACTTCATGGCAGTCCAAGAGCAAATAAGAGTACATTTGAATGCATCCAGGAGCACCTTGCCAACCAGGCATGAAGCTTAAAGGGAAGAGAGCAGGCTGAGGGTCTGCCAGAGGTTGTAGTCAGCACACACCCATGTTAGGTCCCAGGGGTCAGAGGCATTTGTTCCAGACCACCCACCACATCCCAAATGGCATGCTGGACAGCCATGCTTCTCCAGTTCCAGAAGCCCCTTCGAAAGGGGAAAGAGAGAAGGCAATGGGAAACAAATTCCGGAAATACTATCAACTAAATATTAAAGGGGAAATGTTAAGCTGCGGTTCTATGAAGACAATTCTACATTGAACTTTACTTGCCAGAGCATCAGCTGTCACAAAGACTGACCCTTTTCAATGCTGGTTAGAAAAGTATTCATATCCTTTATACATTTACTGTCTGAATGAGGATAACATGTTATTCAAATAAGCCCACTGAATTTCTATTTCTAAAGCTAACTACAATATTTAACAAATTTTCTTGTTAAAAATTTTTTAGCCAAAACCCATTTGGCTCAGTGGATAGAGTGTCGGCCTGCAGACTGAAGGGTCCCGTATTAGATTCCAGTCAAGGGCATGTACCTTGGTTGCGGGCACATCCCCAGTGGGGAGTGTGCAGGAGGCAGCTGACCAATGTTTCTCTCTCATTGATGTTTCTAACTCTCTATCCCTCTTCCTTCCTCTCTGTAAAAAATAAATAAAATATATATTTTTTAAAAAAATTTTAATTTATTTAAAAATGGGGAAAACACCTCTCTGCCAGCTCACAGGAATTTGTTATCATAATTTCTGCTATGTAATTTTCCTTAGATATAGTCACACAAAATCCACTTGGTACATTTCTATAGCTCTTGGCATACTTGAATGTCACAAATTTTCATTTGCTAAAAGTATATCACGCCAAAACACTCTGATAGGCTTACTAAAATAGTAAGCAAAACTTTACTTAGTTTTGAGAAAATATGAACTGAAGAAAAATGTTCTAATATTTCTTCCTGAAGATGAATCGGAATCCCATATATGTTATGAGCTGCAATACAATGCTTATTTTTCAGTTTTTATTTTACCTTCCTTCTCTAACGTTATAATAATTGCATCCATGCACTCAAAATTCTTTTTATTGTTATGCACTGGAGACACAAGGAGAATAAGAAATTGTCATTGTTCTCAAGGAGCTCACAATTTAGTAGGAAAAAAGATACAATGAAACCAACAATAAATTACAGAAGACTATAATACACACTACAATACATGACTCCATATTGTATTGACTAGGTCAACAAATATTAGTATACCTATTTGTAAACCACTCCAAGAAGAATTTATGCAATTACTTCTTGAATATACCAGAGAAAATAAATCACAGTTAAAACAAAATAGGAAATTATTGTAAAAAAATTTTTTTTAAATATTGCCCAACTTGGAGTGTCAACCTATGAACCAGGAGGTCATGGTTCAAATTCTTGGACAGGAAACATGCCTGGGTTTGGGGTTCGATCCCCAATAGGGGGCATGCAGGAGGCAGCTGGTCAATGATTCTTTCTCATAATTAATGTTTTTATCTTTCTCTTTCTCTCCCTCTCTTTTCCTCTCTAAAATAAAAATATATATATTTAAAATATACCTATATTTTAAATAGCAATCATTTTTAATTCTATAGCTAACAATAAATAACACATTGTCAACTCAAAAAAAAAAGGGATAATCCCTTAACCTCAATATCAAGTTTAATGTTGGACAACAATTGAAACCTCATATGTTATAACAATCTTGAATCATGTTTTTTATTATTTTGTTTTAAATTTGAGTTGGCTTCATCTATAATTTTCTTTCCACTTAATCTCCAAATTAATGAAGGGGTGATTATATATATAAGAAGAACTTACCTTTCAGCTTGAAGCTTAGTGGTTTTTACTATCAAATCTTGAGTTTGTTCCTTTGCTGCCTAAAATTATAAATATATCTGGTATCAGTACATTTCAATTTTGTTATACTTCAAAAAATTAACACTACCACTTACTGGAGTTAGACCTATGACAAAGGAGATCATACTCCAGAACTCAAAAGTTTATAAAAACACCCGAGTTATAATTAAACATAAGTTTTAAGGCTCATATACTAACTTTAGCAAGAAGAACTCACTCAATGCTATCAAAACATACATCATAGTAAGGCTTACAAAAAAGAAAAAGATATCAGGATGCTGACTAAGGAATTTAACAGTTCATGATGCTTTTTGTGAAACAGAAGCACTGGAAGAGCAAGTTAAGGATGAAGAATATGACTTGTTTTGCACATGGTGAGACAGCATGAGACCTCTAAATGGAGTTGTAAGTTAAGTCACTGAAATACTCATCAGATAGGGCCAAGATGGAGATAAACATTTGGGAGTTGAGATATACAAACTATCTCTCATATAAAATTTTGGTGAAGATTAGAAACAAAAGACACAAGCTGCTCCTGACCGAGTTCCATACCAAGCAGTCCCCCCTCCCACAAGCTAGAGTTGAAAGTATCAGGAGCAAAAACCTGAAAAATAAGGTGTTCTATCCAAGAATAGGCAAATATTTATAAAGTGGATTAAGACAAAATACAGATGTGGTCAATCTGATTCTCTCAAAGACCTGAAATAAGGCACTTATTAATAAGGGAAGAAACAAGTGGTTGTAAGGCAAAAAAAAAAAAAAAAAAAGACCGAGGGTCTAGGCCTTGATGGGATATAGAGTCAAAAGTATCCTATCTAATAAAATAGTAATATGCAAATTAATAATCTCTCCACTACACCCACAAGCCACGCCCACCAGCGAATCAGGATCTGGTATGCAAATTAACCCCAACCAAGATGGCTGCAGCCACTGAGCAAACAGGAGGGAGGCTTGAGTTTCCCCAGGGATGGAGGAAGCCAAGCTTTCCACACACCCTGGCAGGCTTCACTCAAGGCTACAAAGTTTCATTTATAGAAGATAAATAAATTCCAACAGAAATGGCGACAGCCATGAAGCTGCAGAGAGCAGGAGGTTAGGATTTCCCCCAGCGATGGAGGAAGCCAAGTTTCTGCCTTGGTCTCCACTCACAGCTACAAAGTTTCAATTGTAGAAGATAAAAAAAAATCCCAGATACCAGGGCATCCTCTTGGGTCGCTGGGGGGTATGGCCGACCTGCAAACCACCACAGGGCCCTCGCCCAAGCCGCACCATGCCCCAAGGGAACCACAACCCTAATCTGGGACACCCTTCAGGGAAAACAAGCTGGCCACCACCCATTCTCCAGGCCTCTATCCTATCTAATAAAAGAGTAATAGCAGATCGACCATCACTCCAACACACAAGATGGCTGCCCCCATGTGGTCAAAGATCCTGCCCCCATGTGGACACAAGATGGCCACCACAAAATGGCCAACAGGGGAGGTAAATTGAGAGGGATCAGCCCTGCAAGGGAGGGCAATTGTGGGTGATCAGGCCAGCAGGGGAGAGCAGTTGGGAAGGAGCAGGCCTGCAGGGAAGGAGCAGGCCTGCAGGGGAGGGCAGCTGGGGGCAATCAAGCATGCAGGGGAGGGCAGCTGGGGGCAATCAAGCATGCAGAGACAGAAAGCTAGGGGTGACCAGGCCAGCAGAGAAGGGAAGTTGGGAGTGAGAAGGTCTGCAGGGGAGGGCAGTTATGGGTGACCAGGCCTGCAAGGGGGGGCAGGCAAGGGAGCAGTTAGGCATCGATCAGACTGGCAGGGAAGAGGTTAGGGGGTGATCAGTCTAGCAGGCAGAAGAGGGGCAATCAGGCAGGCAGGCAGACAAGTGGTTTGGAACCAGCAGTCCTAGATTGCGAGAGGGATTCCAACCGCCCATTTAGACCTGATCCTAGTGGGCCTAAACGGGCAGTCAGACATTCCTCAAGGGTTCCCAGATTGGAGAGGGTGCAGTCTGGTCTGAGGGACCGCTCCTCTCCCCCGTGCACAAATTTCATGCACCGGGCCTCTAATATATACATACAGTCACTAGTAAATGAAAATTATAAAGTACTAGCTCTATATCCCAAGAAACTACAATAGAAACACTAATCAGAAAGGATATATGCACCCTTATGTTCATAGCAGCACAATTTGCAATTGCTAAGATTTGGAAATAATCTACATGCTCATCAGCAGATGAGAAGATTAAAAAACTATGGTACATCTACACCAGAGGTCAGCAAACCACATGCTATATGGGGTTCTTTGATCCCTTGAGTGTGGCTCTTCCACAAAATGCCACATGCGGGCACGCACGTACAGTGCGATTGAAACTTCGTGGCCCATGTGCAGAAGTCGGTTTTCAGCCAGGGCGAGTCTATTTTGAAGAAGTGACGTTAGAACACTCAAGGGGCATGAGCCGCAGTTTGCTGACCACTGATCTACACAATGGAATATTATGCTACTATAAAAAAGAAGAACTTTTTCCATTTACAATATCATGAAAGGAACTGGAGAGCATTATGCTAAGCAAAATAAGCCATTCAGAGAAAGATAAATATCACATGATCTCACTTATATTTGGGATGTAATGATCAACATAATTTGATGAACAAGAACTGACCCAGAGACAAATGGCAGCGGAGGGGAGGATTAGAGAGCAGCCAAAGGACTTGTATGCATGCATACTAGCATAACCAATGGACACAGACACTGGGGCGGTAGGGGCTTGCCCAGGGTGGGAATGGCTGGGGGTGGGGTCAATTAGAGAAAAAGGAGATAATGTGTAAAACTTTAGACCATTAAAAAAATTATAAAGTAGACAAAAACACATAGTGAAGGGCAGTCTGTTAAAGAGAGAATACCAGAAAAAACACTGGAAGGAGGTTGGGGGTCATTTTCATGCTGGGTCAGTAAAAAGAAAACAAACTTCTGCTGCTAATGTTTCTAGAGCTGCATTAGATCTAAAAACACCCCCAATCACCACAAAGTTCTGGGTTCTTAAAGCCAAGTCCAGATTATCAATGACATTTTCTCTGACTGGTTATCTACCTCCTCTCAGTCATTAACAGAGCCCCACCCTAATCTCTAGGGAAGTTATTTTGAGTCTGTTTTCCTTACAACCAAATTAAGTGCCCAAGAAATAGTAGATATTTTTAATAAAATAGATTTAAACCTAGATAATTCAGCAGATCATGAACTTTTAATGAATGGTGCAAAACATGATAGCTCCCATGGTATTTTTCTAAAATTACTACTCTTTAAATCCAATAACTTTTTCAAATATTTATCTTTCCTAGTGTCATTTTGCTTTAAAGATCTACTTCAATCCTTTATCTTGCCTTGTACAATTTTTTAAATATATTTCAATTCTAAAACTTATTAGCATCCTATCTAATAAAGAGGGAATATGCTAATTGATCCTCAGGCTATCACAAAGATGGTGGCACCCACAGCCAATATGGAGGGAATATGCTAATTGACTGTCATGCCCTCAAAGATGGGGGCGCCCAGTCCCCCTGCCCCACCGGGGTGACAGGTGCGCAAAAGGGCTCCAAGTGCTTGCTTCCGGAGTCCCCCAGTCCCCTCAGTCCACCAGCTGCTCAGGGCCAGCCCTGAGGCGCAGCAAGCCGTGCATGTTGGCTGCCCAGCTGCCCAGGGCTGCCCAAGGCTCAGGTAACCAGGGCGGCCAAGGCTTGAGCTGCCAGCAGTGGCAGCACCAGAGGTATGATGGGGCGTCACCTTCCCCTGATCACCAAGTCACCTTCCACCCCTGAGGGCTCTCAGACTGTGAGAGGGGGCAGGCTAGCCTGAGAAATCCACTCTCCAGTGCATGAATTTTCATGCCCCAAGCCTCTAGTAGTATTTTAATATTTATGAAAAAAAGAGTGCTTCACAAAATTAATATCATAAAATGCTTATTAGCTTCTTTTTAGCCTTAGTAATTATTAAATTAAGTGTATCTTATAAACACCACCATCAATTAATCACTCAAATATTATACTTGTGTAAAATGTTATGCAATTAGAATTTTTGCATTATTTCCTGACTCTTCATTTATAAATTGTGGTAATAATTGCAAATTAATGTTTAATAATACTTGTAAAGATTATTACCCTAAAATAATTTTTACTCAATTTATCTTCAATGTCAAAGATGATTACTTCTCATTAAATAATAAACATATGACTACAAATATAAATTATTAAAGTATAACCATAGCCAAAGGGATAAACCATAGCATACCAAAAAATTTCTGATTTAATTTCTAAATATATCTCATAATATCAATTTCTAAACTGTCCTAAATCCAAAGCATTTTAGAAAAATTAATTAACTAATTATAACTATAATTTAATTAGTTAATTAATTATTTCCAAATTATAAGGTGTTAAATGACTTATAACTCCATAAGTCATTTAACACCTTATAATGTAAAAGAGAGAGGATTTACCAAGAAATACTTCTTTTTATAAATAAATGAATTGAAAACATTATTCTAGAGTTGATAGTATAAGTGGGTACTATTAAGATTATAACAACACTATATCCAAATAAATTAGTGCCAATAAATAAGTTTTCAAAATCATATATCTAACACCTACTAATCTAAGAATAAAAAATGAATGTATTATACATGAGTGAAATCATATGGTTCTTGTCCACCTAACATTTCACTTAGGATGGTGAGCACACATGCAATGCAGATGATATATTATCAATTTGTACACTGGAAACCTATAAAATGTTACTAACCAATAGTACCCCCAATAAATTAAATTGAAAAATAATGAATGTAAACAATAAGTAGTATATAATATTTTTAAATATTCAATATAAAAAGCTATGAGGAAATTTTGCAAGTCTGGAATGAAAAATCAAACAAAATCAATTACTATGCAACAAAAGCACAAAAAAGTGAAAAGGCAACAATTAGCAGTTTATATGATTATTTAGATACTAGAGGCCTGGTGCATAAAATTTGTGCACGGGGGTAGAGGGGAGGGAGGTGGGTGATCCCTCAGCTCAGCCTGCACCCTCTCCAATCTGAGACCACTCAAGGGATATCTGACTGCCTGTTTAGGCCCGGCAGTTACACATCCCTTACAATCCTAGACTGCTGGCTCCCAACTGCTCACCTCTCTGCCTTCCTGATTGCCTGGTAGCCTGATCACCCCCTAACCACTGCCCTGTCAGCCTGATTGATGCCTAACTGCTCCTCTGCCAGCCTGTTTGCCCCTAACTACCCTACCCTGCAGGCCTGGTCACCCCTAACTGCCCTCCCCTGCAGGCATGGTCCCCCCCCCAACTGCTCTCCCCTGGGGGCTTGTCCTCCACAACTGCTCTCCCTGGCAGGCCTGGGTCCCCCACAACTGCCATTCCCTGCAGGCCCAGTAACCTCCAATTTCCCTCTTCTGCCGGCCTAGTCACCCCTAACTGCCCACCCCTGCTGGCTTGATCGCCCCCAACTGCCCTCCCCTGCAGGCCTGGTTCCTCCCAACTGCCCTTCCCTGCTGGCCTGATCACCCACAATTGCCCTCCCTTGCAGGCCTGGTCCCTCCCAACTGCTCTCCCCTGCTAGCCATCTTGTGGTGGCCATCTTGTGTCCACATGGGAGCAGGATCTTTGACCACATGGGGGCAGCCATCTTGTGTGTTGGAATGATGGTCAATCTGCTATTATTCTTTTATTAGATAGGATAGAGGCCTGGAGCATGGATGGGGACAGCTAGTTTGCCCTGAAGGGTGAAACCAGATCAAGGTGGGGGTTCCTTTGGGGAGTGGGGCAGCCTGGGCAAGGGCCCTGTGGTGGTTTTCAGGCTGGCCATGTCTCCCCCCCCCCCCCCCCCCCCCCCCGGCAACCCAAGCACAGGCCCTGGTATCTGGGATTTATCTTCTATAATTGAAACTTTATAGCCTAGAGCAGAGCCAAGCCTTCTGCTCACTCAGTGGTGGCAGCCATTTCTGTTGGGATTTATTTATCTTCTAATTGAAATTTTGTAGCCTTAAGCGGAGGCCAAGACAGGTGAGGGCTGCAAAAGCTTGGCTTCCTCCACCACCGGAGGCAACCCTGCTCTCTGTAGCTCCATGGCTACCGCCATTTTTGTTGGGATTTGTTTACCTTCTATAATTGAAACTTTGCAGCTTTGAGTGGAGGCCTGGCCCTGCCAGAGTATGTGGAAAGCTTGGCTTCCTCCATTGCCGAGGAAACCCAAGCCTCCCACCTGCTCGCTCTGTGGCCTCAGCCATCTTGGTTGGGGTTAATCTACATACTCACTCCTGATTGGCTATTGGGTGTGACTTGTGGGTGTAGCAGAGTGATGGTTAATTTGCATATTACTCTTTTATTAGATAGGATTGTATAATTAACAAAGATCTAAATATTAAAAAATAAATATACCAATAATATTTTATGTTATTTAAAAATAAAAAAATTAGATAAAACTAGGAAATCTAAAATTTTAGAAACAGGAAATTGACTAGTTCTGCAGACAGATCACACAAGTATCAACTATTCTGTGGAATATGCATAGATTCATGATTCTTCCTATAATTGTAGCCGACAATAGGTCCAAGAGAATCTTATAGATACAAGTTTATAATAAAAATGTGAAGGTAGTAGAAATAATCATGACTGACTCTTAACTTAGGAAGAAGCTATTCCACATGACTTAGGATAATTAAGTTAAATGCTAACTCCACAACCAAAACAGAGGTTCAGAACAGTTTTAATATACAGGCTATGAGTAAAATTTAATATATTTTCCTGAGATTTTTTTTTTTTTTTTTTTTTTTTTTAGGCTAAGCACAAATCATAATTAAGCTTGAGTTTGAACTTACTCCTAAGGCTTTCTATTAAGAAATTATTACTGACTTTCGGCATATATATGGGATTGAAAGGTTTATCAAAACTCTATACAGTTAGTTCTGTACCAGCCAGATAAAAATATAAAGGCTTCTGGAGCTAACTGAACAATATTACAAACTTCCTATAGGGCATGATGTAGTAGATATCCATACATTTTGTAGACCTCTCTAACATACCTCTCTGTACCAGGAACTATGCTAATATCAAGCCATTATACAATACCTGTAAGCGACTTGTCATATCTTGACAACAGCTGCTCATTGCTTGAACATCTTCATTTATGCTTTCAAGTTCCTAAAAGGAGAAAAGTTAATACCATAAAATATACTGTTAAAAAAAATTGCTCTTCTCTTAAGCCAAATCCTGATTTTCAACCCATGAATTTTTTTTTTCCTAAAACATAACTAAATATCTCATATTTAAGACTAGAAATGATTTTTAAAAAAACATCTAGTATTAGAAAAGGTGTAAAATAAACTAGTGAAACAAAACACAGCAAATACTTGCCCTGACCAGTGTGGGTCAATGGTTAGAGTGTCCGCCCACACACAGAAAAGTCAAAGGGCCATGGATTTGATTCCCAGTCAAGAACACATACCTGAGTTGCAGGTTCAATCCTTGGGCCAGAGCCCAGTCAAGGTACTTCCACGAGGCAATCAATCAATGTGTCTCTCATGTAGATGTTTCTTTCTCTCTCACTCTCTCTCTCTCCCTTCTCTCCCCTTCCCTCCCTGTCACCTCTCTCTCTCTCTCTCTCTCTCTCTCTCTCTCTCTCTCTCTCTCTCTCTCTCTCTCTCTCCTTCCCCCCCCCCTTCTCATTCACATCCCCTCCCTTCACTCTCTCTGAAAATCAATGCAAAAAAATGTCCTTGGATGAGAATTAACAGTAACAACAACAAAATATGGCAAATGTTTTAAAAAATATTAATACCTCTTTATTCAGAAATTCTAATACTAACAATTTATCTGTAGAAATCCTATCTGATAAAAGAGTAATATGCAAATTGACTGTCACTCCAACACAGGAGATGTCTACCACTATGTGCTCAAAGATGGCTACACCATGTGGCACAAGATGGCCACCACAAGATGGTCGAAAGGGGAGGGCAGTTGTGGGCAATCAGGCCTGCAGGGGGGGGCAGTTGGGGGCAATCAGGCCTGCAAGGAAGGGGAGTTAGGGGTGATCAGACTTTCAGAGGACAGTTAGGGGTGACCAGGCCAGCAGGGGAGGGCAGTTGGGGGACCAGGCCTGCAGGGGAGGGCAGTTGGGGGGGACCAGGCTTACAGGGGAGGGCAGTTGGGGGGAACCATGCCTGCAGGGGAGGGCAGTTGGGGGTGGGGGGGACTAGGCCTGCAAGGTAGGGCAATTAGGAGAACCAGGCCTGCAGGAGAGGACAATTAGAAGCAATAGGGCCAGCAAGGGAGCAGTTAGGCATCAATCAGACTGGCAGGGGAGTGGTTAGGGGGTGATCAGGCTGGCAGGCAGAAGCAGTTAGGGGCAATCAGGCAGGCAGGCAGGCAGGCAAGTGGTTTGGAGCCAGCAGTCTTGGATTGTGAGAGGGATGTCCGACTACCTGTTTAGGCCTGATCCCAGTGGGCCTAAACGGGCAGTAGGACATCCCTCGAGGGTTCCCAGAATGGAGAGGGTGCAGTCTGGGCTGAGGGACACCCCCCCCCCATGCATGAATTTCGTGCACTGGGCCTCTAGTTAATCAATTAAGTGTATAACAATATACTTAAGAGGATAACCAACACAGTTGCCTAGAACAATTGGAAAATGTGAAACACTTCCAATCACACAATGGAAATCTGTGCTAAACATTAATACTGATTGTGTTTCTGTGTGTGGTTGTGTGTGTGCATGCGTGTGTGCATTTACTAACGTGAAAAAAATGTCTGTATAAGATTTAAAAAGTATTATGAAACAATATATAATATCTTCCTATTTTTTAGAAAAATACATATTTAAGTGCAAAAGGACATAGAAAGGGCCATAGAATAAAATACTAACAATAGTTATATCTGAATAACAGGTTCACAAACTAACAATATAATGCCTCCTCTTACCTTTTTGAAAGTCACATATTAGATCATGCCACAAATCTGATAATTTTCTCAGTAACATTCTCTCCATATGTATTTCCACCTCTAGCCCCACCCCAAATATACTTGAATTTAATGGGTAACTAATTCCTATCATTTATACCCCTAAATGTATACATCTTGTCCATTTCCTTTCTATTATCCAAATAACTACTAATTTAGTTGAGGTCCACTGTTCTCTCTCCCATGGAATTATTTTTTTTTTTAAGTCTTCTACAGCTTTTCCAGGCTCTATACTATTTGCTAAACCAACCTCTAGGCTTAACTGAACCAATCTCTTACTATGAAAATATGATGTCTCAAAACCACATTTAGTAGCTTCATATTTCACTGTTATCTTCTTTTTCCCAATTCAATTCAGTGTCTCATAACAGAAAGATATGCAAAGAATGAAAGTTTCAGTGGTAGACTGGGTCTTACTGTCTGGCCCCTTTCAACACAATACCCAGACGGACGTTCCAGTACAAACTGCACAGTTTTAGGAAGGGGTGGGCCAATTGGGGGCATCAAGCAACCAAGCCCTAGCCAAGTAGCTCAGCTGGTTAGAGTGTCGTCCTAAAATGACAAGGTTGCAGGTTCCATCCCTGGTCAGGGCACATACAAGAATCAACCAATGATGTGGAAAAAGAGAACCCTCATTCAGTGCTGATGGGAATGTAGACTGGTACAACCACTAGGAAGTCTGGCAATTCCTCAAAATATTGAAAATTAGAGCGACCATATGACCCAGCAATCCCTCTTTTGGATATATACCCAAAATTATCAAAGTCATGTATTCACAAAAATATATGCAACCCTACGTTCACTGTAGCATTATTCATGGTGCCCAACTGCCCTCCCCTGCCAGCCTGATCTTGCCCCCAACTGCCCTCCCCTGCTGGCCAATTTGCACAACCAAAGTACCCTGAGACAGAGAACTGGATAAAGGCGATGTGGTACACATACACGATAAAATACTACTCAGCCACAAGGACAAAAATACTGTCACTTGCAACAACATGGATGGAACTTGAGAACACTATTCTAAGTGAACCAAGTCAGTCAGAAAAAAGTCAAGAACCATAAGATTTCACTTAATTATGGGATATAAATCTGAAACTTGTGAACACAAAGAACAGTGTGGTGGATGCCAGAGGGAAGGGGGTGGGAGGAGAAGGCGGTCCTAATATAAGGTGATGGGAGAAGAATTGACTTTGGATGGTAAGTACAGTGCAATATATATAACTTGTAACATAAAAACTCACACCTGAAACCTATGTTTATGTTGACCAATGTCACCCCAATAAATTTAATATAAAGAAATAAGTAATTGTTTTCAAAAGAATCAATAAATGCATAAATAAGTAGAACAACAAAAATTAATGTTTTTCTCTCTCTCTTTCCCTTTCTCACTCTCTCTCTCTAAAATCAATAAATAAAAATTTTTAAAAAACAGCCAAGCAGGGCTATAAATAAAACATGAGAATGAACCAGAATTAGGAAGTCACTTATAAGAATACTAGAGGCCCAGTGCACGAAATTCATGCATGGGGATGTGTGTCCCTCAGCCCAGCCTGCATGTTCTCCAATCTGGGAACTTTTGAGGAATGTCCAACTGCCCATTTAGGCAGTCAGACATCCCTCTCACAATCCTGGACTGCTCACCTGCCTGTCTGCCTTCCTGATTACCTTTAACTGCTTCTGCCTGCCAGCCTGATCACACCCTAACCACTGCCCTGTCAGCCTGATTGATGCCTTACTGATCCCCTGCCAGCCTGGTTCACCCCTAACTTCCCTCCTTTGCAGCCCTGATCCTTCCTCCCCACCCCCCCAACTGCCCTTCCTTGCAGGCCCAGTTGCCCTCAACTCCCTTCCTCTCCCAGCCTGGTCACCCCTAACTGCCCTCCCCTGCAGGCCTTCTTGTTGTGGCCATCTTGTGTCCACTTGGGGGCAGTATCTTTGACCACATGGGACAGCCAGCTTATATGTTGGAGTGATGGTCAATCTGCATATTACTCTTTTATGAGATAGGATAAGCATAAATCTCAGTTCTAGAATTAAGATTTTTTTCCTTCTATTAAGTACTTTATATTATAAAAATTATAGCACCAGATATTTTTAAATGCTACTTTTCATATTTGTCTATAATCAGTATGTAATTCAAATTACTTAACTAAGTTCTAAACTGTTTTCATGTAAATAATAAAAGCAAGTATAATTGATATTAGCAATAGCAGATACATAAATTCATCTCACCATTCCCTTAAATTTTACTGTATAATATAAAAATAATAGTACTATGACATTATCAGTCAGTTAGGTCAAAAATAACTTACACCTAATATTTACTTTAGCTACCATATTAAATGGGTTTGCTTTGTAAAATAATAGAAATTACATCTCTCAATATATGACTTAAATGTAGAGATTTGCTAAATTGTAATTCAAGGGCCTTTTACACTGTAAAGTCTTTGAACTTAGAATAAACTATCTTCTTTTTTCCCCTAATTAAATAAAATTATAGGTTGTGAAATAAAACTAGAGTATGAAAATTCTTTAAAATCTTTTTTGTTATATAGAATTTTCAAAAATATCCAAAATTTGAGATACCATGAATGCCCATGTATATATTATCTGGTTCAACAATTACCAACTTGTGACCACATTTGTTTCATCTCTCCCCACTTCCTTCCTCTTTCCTACTCAATTTCTCCTTTCCCCACAAACAGAATCATTTTGAATTCGATATCTAATTTCATTCATAATCATATCCATATGTATTTCTATGAGGACTCAAAAAAAGACACGATGCTATTTGCATATCTAATCAGTGGATAGAGTGTCAGTCTGCAGACTGAAAGGTTCCAGGTTCAATTCTGATCAAGGGTCTGTACATTGGTTGCAGGTACATCCCCGGTAGGGGGTATGCAGAAGGCAGCTGGTCAATGTTTCTCTCTCATCAATGTTTCTAGCTCTCTATCCCTCTCCCTTCCTTTCTGTAAAAAAAAATCAATAAATATATATTTTAAAAAACAAATTTCCCCAATTGTCTCAATTTTTTACCAATTTGTTCAAATGAGGAACCAAAGATTCACAAATAGTAATTAATTGAATATTTTTATTATTATTATTATTATTGCTTAGAGAGAAAGAGAAACATCAATTTGTTGTTCCACTTATTTACTCATTCATTGGTAGATTCTTATATGTGCCCTGGATCAAACCTGAAACCTTGGCGTGTCAGGAAGATGCTCTAATCAACTGAATTCTCTAGGCCCTCCTCCTCCCTCCCACCTCCCTCTCTCTTTCTACCTTTCTCTCTCTATCTTGTTTGTGTGTGTTTTTACAATTTATTTGTTGAAGAAATCAGTTACTTTGCCCTTACAGTTTCCAACATTCCCGATTTTGCTGACAGTCTTCATGCTATTAATATACTCTTCTGTTGCCTACATTTCCTATAAACTGCAGCAGTTAGATCTAGAAGCTTGATTATATCTAGTTCCATTTTCTGGCAAGAATTCTGGTGTTGTATACCTTTTCTGGAGGCCCAGTGCATGAAGATTCGTGCAAGAATGGGCCTTCCTTCCCTTGGCTGCCGGCACTGCCTTTGCACTGGCTGGGCAGCCTTTCTCTCCAGCCCAGAGCTGCCTTTCTGCCTTCCCACGCTGCCCAGCGGCCAGGAGCAGCTGGAGTGGTGCAGAATCCTGCCACATAGCCTTGGCAACGACACAAGCATCCCACCCTGCCTCCGGCCGTGCCTGTGTATGCAAATTAATCCAACACCTTTGTTGGGTTAATTTGCATATTCACTCCTGATTGGCTGGTGGGCATTGTGCAGGTATGGTCAATTAGCATGTTACTCTTTTATAAGGTAGGTTAATAGTCACATATATGGTTTTTCCTCTTTCTGGGAGGGTAGCAACTAGTGATGAACAAAGGCTTGATCAGTGGCTCTCAACTGGGGCAGTTTTGCTCTGCAAGGGGGCATTTGGCATTGTCTGGAGACATTTTTTGATTGAAATAATTGGGGGGGAATGGTGCTACTGGCATCTAGTGTTTAGAGCAGGCGTCTTCAAACTACGGCCCGCGGGCCACATGTGGCCCACAGAGGAGTCTGATCCGGCCCGCCAGGTTTTTTGGGCAGTGAGCACAGCCGAGGTAGGAATTAGTAGTTCATATAGTCCGGCCCTCCAGCTCTCTGAGGGACCGTGATCTGGCCCCCACTTTAAAAAGTTTGAGGACGCCTGTTTTAGAGGCTAGAGATGCTACTAAACATTCTATATTGCAAAATGTAGAATGTTGAAAAACCCTGAGCTAGACCTATATATTCAAGAGTGCTTATAACTTCTAATCTAAGTCTACCATTTCTTCTTCATTTATTAGATGGAATATTTCTATAAAGGTTTGCCCTGAACAACCATATATAATTGATATAAAAGATGGGATTAATGTTTAGTAATTCTTTCCTTTTATTTAAAAGTTTTCAAAATAATAAGTTAGTTCCCTTATATCCACCAAAGATAACTAATGAGGGTTTTGTTTGGTTTCCAATATCATTATGAATTCACAGACTAAACATGTTTGATAGGTTTCAGTCCACTAAGTTATTCTTACTGATGCTCACACAGTCCTACGTTTTGTCAGTAGAAGCCTTTTCAAGTAGCTCCAGTCTTTCTGATACTTTCCCAATAATCACAGACAGCTTTCTTGCTTTCTGGTACTGATAATATTGTTTCTTTCAGTGGGAAAGGGTGTCTAGAAAGCAAAATCTGGATGACCTCATTGCTACCAGTTCTTCCTATTTTGGTGAACATCACTTTATTTCCATTTAACCTTCCAGATTACTAGTCTTTACTCAATGAAAACCTACAAAACTGTTTAAAATGTTTTTATTAAGTACTCATTGAAACCACTTATCACTCTCATACCACTCACACAGAAATATTAATTATGTAATATTATGTCATATTAACATAATTAACAATATGCTACATAATGAAAACAGACCATAAAAAATAAAATTTATTTTACCTGATGATGAGTAGACTGCTCACTCAAGTAAGATAAATCATTACACATTGAAGTATTCATCTTAATTAATTTGAAATTTTCATAATTTATTTTTTTAATATATTTTATTGATTTTTTTACAGAGAGGAAGGGAGAGGGATAGAGTTAGAAACATCAATGAGAGAGAAACATTGATCAGCTGCCTCTTACACACCCCCTACTGGGGATGTGTCCACAACCAACATATATGCCCTTGACAGGAATCGAACCTGGGACCCTTCAGTCCACAGACCGATGCTCTATCCACTGAGCCAAACTGGTTAGGGCTGAAATTTTCAAAATTTGAAATGTATTAAAGGAATTCAATTTTAATTACCTCCAATGGGGAAGTGGTTATCCAAGGGAGATTTATTCAATGAGGGAATATCTCTATTGGAAAACTATTCAGAGAAATGTTATTTATTATTATTATCATTATTATTATTATTATTATTGTTTAAAAACTAAAATTCCACAGAGAATATCCTAGAACAAATGTTACAACTTTTTAAGAACTAGCATTAGTGGAAGTCACAGATTCAGAAATCACTCTAATCCAAAGACTAAGATGCTTCTGGAGTAAGTAGTTAAATTTTCTATTTGAATTTGATACATGAATAGCAAATATGCCAACCTAATTAATCAAACTACAAAGTAGAGAGTCAGGCATATAGTAAAATTTCAATAAATGCTTAATGAAAAGAGTTTACATACTTCCTTCACTTCCTTGAAAATGCTTACAAATTCTTCATTGATGGCTAAACTTCTGCGTTCAATATCTCCACGTAAATTTCTTCGCGTCCGCAAACTATTTTCAACAAAAAAGGTTGAAAGTGCCTTGAGAGCTTCCAACATTTCCTAAACAAGTGATGATAGAAAAAAATTATTGGGATCAATTTTCAAATGTTTTCCTAGTCTCAAGCCAAAAATTAATAAAATCATTTTCAAATAATTTATTCTGTTACAACCCCCAAAATGTTGAATAACCTTCACATTACTAACAGTGTCAGCATTATTTCTGAAACATAATATGTATATACTTATTGTGTATTGTGGCATGTATACAAGGTTATTTACTTCAGAACTGTTTGTAATTGCAAAGATTAGAAATTACTCTAATGTCTATTTAAAAGGGGATTGGTTAAAGAAATTATGATACATCCATTTTAAAAAGGTGAAAAATCTTATATGCTTATTTAAATCTTTTTCTGGAAGGATATATAAAAGAAATAAATACCACCGGCAGCCAGCAGGCTAGGACCTGAGTAAATGAGAGCAAAATTAAAGAAACTTAGAGAGATAGGCCTCTTTGAAGTGACTTTTGAACTTAGGCCTGAGTGATAGGAAAGAGACATGACGTGGGCAAAGCCTTCCACAGACAAAGGAAATGAATACAAAGATCCTAAAGCAGCAGAAAGGCCAATGTGACCAAAGCTATGGGAAACTATTAGAGGTTTTAAACACAGGAGTATTGTAATATGCTTTACATATTTAAAAGTTTGTTCCAACTTTATGAGGATGGGTGGTAGAAAGGGCAAGAAAAGCAGAAAGTAGGGAAAAACGAAAATAATCCAAGCAAGATTTGATAGTAGCATAGACCAGTGGTCGGCAAACACATTAGTCAACAGAGCCAAATACCAACACTACAACAATTAAAATTTCTTTTGAGAGCCAAGTTTTTTAAACTTAAACTTCTTCTAACGCCATTTCTTCAAAATAGACTCTCCCAGGCCATGGTATTTTTGTGGAAGAGCCACAATCAAGGGGCCAAAGAGCTGCATGTGGCTCGCGAGCCGCAGTGTGCCGACCATTGGCATAGACTGGCATGGTAGTAGCACTGCAGGTGATATTTTTTTTCAAGGTAGAGCCTATAAGCCTTGCTAATGGATTAGATGTGGGATGTGAAAAAAAAAATGACAGGTATTAAACATTACTTACGTGCTTCTTGATTATACGGGTAAAAGATGATATTCTTTTCTAACAATAGAGAGATAACCAGTTTGGAGAAAAAGAGTTCTAGTGGTGTTCAGTTTTTATTATGTCGGTCAGGTATCCAATTGGAGGTGCCATATGGACAATTGATTGTACAAGTATGGAACTCCATAGAGATGTCAGAAATAGGATTATAAATTTGAGAATCATAATGCTTTTTGGTATTTAAAATTATGAAAGTAAGAGAGTTCTTCTATAGAGAGATGAACAGAGGAGAGAGGACAGAGGACCAGGCCTAAGATATGAAACAGGAACCTAAATCTTACATATATTAATTCCTTCAACCAAACTAACACACTATATAGTCTAACAGGCTTACCCTTCCGTGTTTCAGTTACAGTGTTATTTTGAAATACTGGCTGGATTGACAAAAATAGTAAAGCTATTTAAATTCAATTTAATACTTAAGAGAGAGGAGGAAAATACCTTTTTTGTCATTGCTGTCTATTACAGATATTCTCCATGTTCCCCTTTGCCACGCCCCCTCCCAGGCCTCTGCCACACTGTCTTAGTCCATGGGTGCTTTTAGGCTACAATTTTGAAATGACTTAGGGCTTGGCTCAAAGACATAGTCAGTAATTGTTGAATGAACAAAATCACACAGACTTGAGTGTAAATTTTAACTCCACCAATTACTAGTTATATGATGTAACTTACACTCTCTACATGCCTTATTTTTCTCATGGGTAAAAGGAAATAGTGTCAATTTATTGGAGTAGCTGTACTAAATGAGATAATAAATATCAATATTTGACACTGTTTTAAACACTTAATAAATTGTATGATAAAATTAACATTTAATAACAAACAGTAAGTGCCTGGCACTTGTCTGAGCACTTCACCTGGATTCTTTCATTGAACCCTCAGAGCAATCCTGATGTTACTAGAGATTCACAATTTAGAAATAATAAGACATAAGCTTAGAGAAGTTAATGGATTCACTTAAATCATAATGCATCAATTTGGTGGTTTTATCTAGTAAATATAATGAATAGTGACAGTCTTATTCATTATATTATGATGTTATTTTTTACACACAAATTCTTATTGACAGCTTGTTTTCAGTGACCTACAAATTTCTAAAAGCTCAGTGATATATTATCAGCCAATTTACCTAGAGACTCAGTGATAGAGCAGAGATAACCTGCTATGATGGAGCTAGAAAGTCCAATCTAAATTTCAGGAAATATTTGGGAGAGGATGTGGACAATCTATTTTGTACAGAAATACAGCTTGAGCCCACAAATCACAGGCAGTACTTAGACTAGTAAATATTATTTCATCTTAGCAGGTTCTTCCGTGTTGGCTTACATAAAATATAATATAAATAAGAAATAAAATAAATTATATAATTTCACATTTTAATCGTTTTAACTTGTCAATGCTCAATTACACCTAACCCTGTTCTCCCGAACCTCGTACCCCCGATTCACGTTGTCTTGTAATTTGCTCTTTTGCATCGGTTTCTCATCCTACCCTCTCAACCTCGGACCCTAGTCACTCCGAGGTTACAGAGGGACCCCGCGGTCTTCCTCCCAGATCCAGAGTTATCACCGAACCTTTTCAAATAGGAGCAACACCCCGAAACCTCTTTCCTTTCCCAGGGCTCCTCGCCTCCCCCGCCATCCTCCCCGCGAAGGTCCGGGTGTCCCCCCGGCGGGGGCCGGGGTGTCCTCCCGGCGGGGGGCGGGGTGTCCTCCCGGCGGGAATGGGTGTCCCCCGGCGGGGCGGGGTGTCCCCCCGGTGGGGGGCTGGGTGTCCCCCCGGCGGGGCTGGGTGTCCCCCCGGCGGGGGGCTGGGTGTCCCCCCGGCGGGGGGCTGGGTGTCCCCCCGGCGGGGCTGGGTGTCCCCCCGGTGGGGGGCTGGGTGTCCCCCCGGCGGGGCTGGGTGTCCCCCCGGCGGGGCTGGGTGTCCCCCCGGTGGGGGGCTGGGTGTCCCCCCGGCGGGGGGCTAGGTGTCCCCCCGGTGGGGGGCTGGGTGTCCCCCCGGCGGGGGGCTGGGTGTCCCCCCGGCGGGGCTGGGTGTCCCCCCGGCGGGGGACTGGGTGTCCCTCCGGCGGGGCTGGGTGTCGGACCCAGGCCGCCGGTCCAGGTTCAGCCCCGCGGGCGGCGTGTCCCTGGCCAGCAGCTCCGGTTACCTTGTCATTGTCCAACCGCGTCTCCAAAATCTTATGCAGCTTCCGCGACAGCGGGTTGTTGGGCTGCGCCGAGGTGCCGCCCGCCCCATTGCTGAGGCCGTTGGCGGCCCCGGACGCGGGGACCGTGACTGCCTCCCCGTTGCCCTCGGCCATCGCGCAGGAGCCCGCCCCGCGCCGCCGTGGCCGCCGGACCGGCAGCGAGGACTGCGCGTGCGCGGTGTGCGGCGCATGCGCCGGAGAAGGCGCTGCGGGGACCGCTGGTCAGCCGGGCCCCAGCAAAGCTACCGGGAGGCGGAGCCGAACCCTCAGCGTGAGAGGAGGGGGCCGATGTGGTCTGAACTGCGGGCAGATTTAGCGTTCTGGATTCACATTTGTGGGATTAAAAGGATTTCATAATTCTGAATCTATGAAGTATAAGCTGTATGTTACAGTCAGCCCCCTCTCCCCAACACCAGAGTAGTAAATGGGACAGCCCCCTAAATCAGTGGGAGAGAGCTGTTCCCAATCTGCATTCTTGTCTTGTCATATAGGTAAATGTGTTTAAGTGAGAGACCTTCATGCATTGTGAAAAGCCAATTTATTAAAGCTTTATTGAAAAAGCAAAGCAAGCAAACTGATATGTCTGGTTTACGAAATGCAGGCAGGCTTATAGCTCATTTGAAGAGCAGGTTGGGTGGGGATCTGAACTGTTATACTGTACGTATACCCTTTTGGTTATAGGCTTTAAAATTTCTTTGTTGAATTTTGGTATAGATTAATTTTCAAAGTTCCTTTTTTTTTACTTTGTTGTGGCCTTCCCAGAAATTATGAGAAGCACCTGGCAACTTTATCTTGCCACGCCTTAAAATTGTTGGATTCACTGTTTAAGGAGTAAAACTGCCCTTTATTTATTCCCCCTCTACCCTCCTTTTTCGCATTCTCTCAGTTGGGAGGTTTTTTAACCATTTGCTTTCATGTCCTTGGCTGGGGAAGATAATGGCTTGTTATTTACAAGCTGGCTGCAAATTGCCTGTACTGTTTGGCCTTTGTTTAACTTTCCTGTCTCAGTTTCCCTATTCCTTCTGCCCTGGAATCCTGTGACATAGGTATCAGGAAACACACTGAGACCTATGCCTGGCATTTAAATTCACTAAAAGTTAATTCAAATTTAATTCACCTTCCCTAAATGCTTTTCTTTCTTATTTTTTTTTCATCACCATTTATCCTCTCTATGCCCTCTACTACCTCCCCCTCTTTTTTTCTTTTTTTCTTTTTTTTTTAAGTATTTATTGAAGACATTTATGAGTCAGGTACTCTGGTAGGCATTGGAGGACCTACATTTTGTGTCTGAGACAAAGGACTTTAAAAATGTTATTGGACCATGATTAGTGCTAAAGGAAACGAAGTGCTGTTCAATGAAATAGCAATGGAGAGAGAGGCCTACTTCACCCAGGAAGCTCTGGAAAGTAATTGCCCATTAACAGATTGGAAGAATGTGAAACATAGGGTAAAATCATTCCTGGGGGAGAAAAGGTAAATACAAAGTTCCCAAACCAAGAAAGAACTTGATTGTTCCACAAATTGGCCAAAGCCAAGGTAGCTATAGAGTAAATAACACAAAAGAAATGAGTTTAACTAGATTAGAACTATATTCCTAGGAAGGTCTAGAAGACAAGCATCATTATTTCTATTCTTTTTTTTTCCCTCTCACTTTTTAAAATTTAGGTCAGACCCCACTGATGTGGCTCCAGTGGTTGAGCCCTGACCTGTGAACTAGGAGGTCACAGTTGGATTCCTAATCTGGGGGCATACTCGGGTTTCCAGCTTCGTCCCCAATAGGAGGCATGCAGGAGGTAGCTAATCAATGATTCTCTCTCATCATTGATTTTTCTATAACTTCCTCCCTCTGTCTTCTTCTCTAAAATTAATATAAATATATTTTTTAAATAAGTATTTTAAAATTGAAGTCAGAATAAACTCTCTGAATCTCTTGTGATGCATGTGTCTGCTTTTATGCCAGTACCATGATGTCTTAATTAATATAGCCTTATAGTATAGATTGATATCAGGTTCTTCTTTCTCAATATTGCTTTGGCTATCAGGGTCTTCTGTGGTTCCATATAAATTTTAGAATTATTTGTTCTACCTCTGTAAAAAAAAAAAGTCTTTGATATTTTAATTAGAGATTGCATTAAATCTATAGAGTGTTTTTGGATGGTATGGACATTTTTTTAAAATATATTTTATTGATTTTTCACAGAGAGGAAGAAAGAGGGATAGAGAGTTAGAAACATCGATGAGAGAATCATCGATCAGCTGCCTCTTGCACACCCCCTACTATGGATGCGCCGCAACCAAGGTACATGCCCTTGACAGGAATCGAACCCGGGACCTTTCAGTCCCCAGGCCGATGCTCTATCCACTGAGCCAAACCGGTCCCGGCTGTATGGACATTTTAATAATATTATTCTTCCTAACCATGAACATGATTTATGCTTCCACTTATTTTATCTTCACTTTCTTTCGTCAGTGTCTTATACAGATATTTTACCTCCTTGGTTAAATTTATTACTAGGTATTTTATTTTTCTAGTACAATTATAAATGGGATTGCTTTATTAATCAACCTTTCTGATAGTTCATTATTGGTGTATAAAAGTACAACAGATTTCTGGATATTAATTTTATAGGAGAGATAGAGAGGGGAAAAAGGGGGGGGGGGGAGGAAAGAAATGCTTTAAAAATGAAGAAATGGCTTGGCTGATGTTGCTCAGTGATTGAGCATAGACCTATGAACCAGTAGGTCATGGTTCAATTCCCAGTTGGGGTGCATGCCTAGATTGGGGCTCCATCCCCAGAAGGAGGCTTGTAAGAAGTGACCATTCAATGGTACTCTTTTATCATTGATGTTTCTATCTCTCTCTCCCTCTGCCTTCCTCTGTGAAATCAATAAAGGCAAATTCATCTTTTTAAAAGAAAGGAAATGCTTTATGTAATTTTTGCTAAAAATCCAGTGTTTTTTTCTAAGTGTGGTTCCTGGACCAGGAATATCAGCATTACCAGGAAACTTATCAGATAAGCAAATTCTAAGGCCCTACCCTAGACCCACAGCATCAGAAACTTTGAGGAGAAAGCCTGGTAATCAATGTTCTAATGGTCCTCCAGAACACTAAAATTTTGTGTTCTCTTGTACTGGCTTTATCACATGTGTTTTTCAGTGAATGTATATCCAAATATGACAGGTCCCAAAGAGAAACTTAATTTCTGCAATAATTTTGGGCGCTCTCTCTCTCTCTCTCTCTCTCTCTCTCTCTCTCTCTCTCTCTCTCTCATTCTCACAAATCTAGAGAGTTTATGAAAAAATAAATAAGAAGTGGAATTTGTATGTGGTTTTTGCATACATTCCTCATCAATGTCCTCGCTTATAATAAGACTAGACGTCCATTGCATGAAGAGATTCATGCAATAGGCCTTCCTTCCCTTGGCTTCCAGCACTGGTTTTCCTCCGGCACCTGGGATCCAGGCCTTCGCTCCTGCTGGAGTCTGCTTCTTCGTCTCTGCAGCAGACTCCCACTGGAGTCTGCCATCTTCGCTACAGATTCAGGCTGGAGTCTGCTGTCTTTATCTTCGCTGCAGACCCTGGCTGGAATCTGCCATGTCTTGGTCTTCTTTGCAGACTACCATCTTCATCTTCACTGGGACCAGAGTGCCGTTCCTATAGATCCCTTTGCCCTCACCCTCCCTCTCATAGCAGGTGTCCTGCCCCATCTGGCCCGGCCACTCAGCGCCTAGAACAGCTAGGCAGCACTATCTTTTTCCTTCTAATTTGCATATTCCCTCCTGATTGGCTGATGGGTGTAGCAGTGATGGCTAATTTGCATATTTCTCTTTTATTAGTGTAGATACCGTAAAGAACAGTGTTATTCATTTATATATCCCACAGCAGAAATTAGTATGCCTTATGCATTCAATAAATATTTGTTGATGAACAAATAAAACTTTTTTTAAATAAAAATTAAGATTTTTAAAAAAATATATTTTATTGATTTTTTACAGAGAGGAAGGGAGAGGGAGAGAGAGTCAGAAACATCAATGAGAGAAAAACATCTATCAGCTGCCTCCTGCACACCTTCCACTGGAGATGTGCCCACAACCAAGGTACATGCCCTTGACGGAAATTGAACCCGGTACCCTTCAGGCATAGGCCTATGCTCTATTCACTGAGCCAAACCAGTCAGAGCTAAGGTGTTTTGTGTGTGTGTTTTTTTAAATTTACACAGACATCCAGTTAGGATGGTGATTGTTTGTTTACTCTTTGGTGGGCACATGTTCATCTAATGTTACAACATAACATATGTGTTTATAGTTTAAACAGAGGAAATTAATTGCCACAATCAAGAAAAACAATTCAAACCAAATGTCATACTAATTTGGGGTAAAAAAAAAAATCAGATTCTTTGTTCAGTTTAGGTTATTAAAATATATTCAGTAAATTATGGTTAATGATGATAATATGCATATCAGGGTTAGTAAGCCTTTATGTAAAGACCTCACTGGAAAATTAGGTTGTCATTCCTGGCAACCTAAAAAACATTTATGCTGATTGTAAAATTGAAATACATATTCTAATAACCATACCAGAAAAAGCACATTAGATGTTATTACTGAAATATGAATTTTGAAAATGCTAAGAACATAAAATCAAACATAGGCAGTTAAAAGCAATTCTTTTATGATCACAGATTTATGGATTAGTTAATCAATATTTGAATTGTATGTGTGTTGCTCAATTGTTAAACCATTCCTCTTACAAACTATAAGTGAATATTAATGAGGAATTCCATGGCATTCAACAGCAGCATTCTGTCACTGTGTTAGGGCAATTGTCAATTTTAATTTTAAAAATTTATACAATGGAATTTTGGGAATCAGCTTGAAGCAGTAAATATACAGAAATAGCAAGACCTAAGTCAGGTAAGACTCTATCATAGGAGATTTAATAGCAAAGCTGTCAACAGGTTAGCAAAAATTGAATTGCTCTCCAGCAATTGGCATATGATTATGATTGATTACATTCTTCATAATGAATAGTTGACCTCTGTTGTTATTTGGTTTTCAGTGTTCGGCCAGCCTGTTCAAAGAGATGCCTGATGTCAAAGATGAAATGATTCATTCTGAACAAGAAATTCAATCATGAGACCAAGGAACAGAGCCTTCAAACCTAGCTGGCACTTTGTACCATGGAGAGAAA